TTCACTGTTGTTGCTCGGCGTCTAGTCAACCACTATCTCAGCCTTGGCTCCTGGATCAACCATCTGACCGCTTTAGCCAAGTATGGCGAGGTTCCCTTGTGCAACCTGGAGCGCGACGATCCTCGGTTCTTGATCGATGTCGCTTACGCCCGGCGTTTGCAAGCCAACAACGTCGTGTTGTGGTGGTCTGACAGTCCGCGGCCCGACCATGCTGGGTACGAAAAGGACGATGTGGCTGGCCCTCTCGACCAGGTCCAGATGCCATCCGTCAACAATCCCGGTACATTCGCGTCTGTCTGTATCGACCTTGAAGTTCGCAACCTAGCCATCAACACCATCCTAACGTCGTCTCTCATCAATGAGCTTGAGGGAGCCGACGCCATCTCATTCAACCCTAGCGGCGACGGCGGCGCAGATGGCAACGAGGCCTTATTTGCAGACAATGCGTTTGCTAACGCCGGAGTGCAAGTCCTCCGAGAGATGGTCAAGTCATGGTGGGCTGAAGCTTGTAAGGGCTCGACAATGGCCGATGTCATGGTGCAACACCTGGTTCGCTGGGTGGAGTCCCCGGCGTCGTGTCTCTACGACCGCGCCCTGCACTATTATGTGCAGATGATGAGCCGGAAGGCCCTTCTCCAGCTCATGGCAGATTTCCGCCGAGTCGGTTCACAGGTCATTTACGCGAGCCCTAATCGGCTACTCTTGCAGACCACCAAGTCGGAAGTCGGCAATGCCTACGCCTACGCGCAGTACATCCTGAAGAGCATCAAGGGCAAGCCCCTGTTCCACTTCATAGACCTCGAGATCAAGGAGTACTGGGACTACCTCGTCTGGTATGACGAGTTCAACTACGGCGGCAAGGCGTGCCAGGAGGTGGTCGAACAAGACGAACAAGACCTCCAAATGATCATGCACTGGCAGATGGCGACCTTCCTGCCCATCCGGCTTCAACCCACTTTCCGCGACTGGGTCGTCGAATTCATCGAGCTCATGCACAGCATCAAGCGGCCACCAACAGGGAGCGACCCTACCGCCACCCCGCGCCTTACACAGCTTCCCATCCGTAATAACGCCGGCCTTGCTGAAGACGCTCCCAACCAGATCATCCTCGGCAACGCTTTTGAAAAACCCCTCAAAAAGGAAATCACCTCCCTTATTGCCACCCAAAAGCGCGAGCTCCTCCACCCCGAGCTAGCAGCGGATTACACCTTCCCCTCCCTCCCGGGCTCCCACCTCGCCCAGCTCACCCCCCAATCCACCACCACCAGCGGCAGCACTCACAAGAAGAACAACAACAAACCCACCGCCTCCGCCAACCCCATCCTCGAGCTCGTCAAATCCCTCATGCAGGTCCTCTCCCTCGACAAAAACATCACGCTCGAAGCGCGCCTCCTGCGCAAGGAACTGCTCACACTCTTCGAGGTGCGCGAGTTCTCGCGCGAGGGCACCTTCCAGAACCCGTCCGAGTCGCTGCGCCTCGCCCAGCTGAGCTGCGACAGCTGCACCATGGCGCGCGACCTCGACCTGTGCCGCGACGAGGACCTGCTGCCGGCTTCCGTCACGGGAGAAACGGGGGCTGGTGGTGCCGCTGACGAGGGGGCCTGGAGCTGGCGGTGTGGGTACTGCGAGCAGGAGTATGATCGCAATGAGGTGGAGGAACGGTTGTTGGGGGATGTGCAGGGTCTTGTGGTCCAGTGGTCCACGCAGGATTTGAAGTGTGCGCGCTGTGGGGCGCTGCGCGTCAATGAGTTTATGGAGCACTGTACGTGTAGTGGGGAGTGGAAGGAGAGTGTTAATCGGGGGGAGGTGATGCGGAGGTTGGGGGTGTATAAGAATGTGGCGAGGTTTTATGGCTTGAGGATGTTGGGGGGTGTGGTGGATGGTGTTTTGGGGGGCTTGTGATGGGTTAGGGGAAAGGGGGTTACACAGTATGGTATGTACTGTATATGTGTGTCAGTAGATGTGGGAACTGGCGTTGGGTAAGAATACATGTTTGGCTTTGTCTGTCTCAGTGGCACACTCATTTCCTTTCCCTTTCCTCTCCCACCCCTTCATGCTCTCTGACCCCTGTGAAGACCTTCACTTCTTTCTCTCCGTGCGTGAGATGTGCAGAACCCCACCAGTTCGCTCCACTGGAATGATGGGTGTCATTCCAGTTTCGTCACCAATCGGATCATGAAAGATGGCTGTGGAGCATGAAATTCCTGCCTCTCGTCACCGCTTCACTGCCTGCCCACAGCGTTCGCACGGCGTTTGCTCCCAACCTGCCATGACAGGCACGCGTTCCAATGCGCTTTTGTTATGCCACTGATGACCTTGGTAAATAATTCCCCACGGATGGGCAGTGGCGCCTGCGACCCAACCCACGTATTGCCATTCACTATCGGTTGTGTAAGTCGACTATTTACTGCAGGGTGGAACGAAACAGTGAACTAATGTTCAATAAACAGCACATTCAACATACCCCGCGATGCTCAACGACCAGGAAATTGAACAGGCTGCGGCCCAGCTTGCCGATTACAAGAGGAGCGACGCGTTATCCAAGCTTCTAGACCAGTATTCGGTTCTGATCGATGACTACAAGCGTCTAAAGAGCGACTATGAGGAAGAGCGTGAGACTCGAGAAAAATACAAGCAGATGGCCAAGGACCAAGAGCGCAACCCATTTGTGCTAGTTTTGGTCGATGGTGATGGCTATGTCTTCCACGATACTTTCCTGTCTCAACGTGCAGAGGGTGGCGGACCTGCCGCCCAAGCACTGAATGACGAAGTCAAGGCCAGTCTGAGGCGGAAGGGACTCGAACATTGTCAAGTCATGGTGCGAATTTACGCCAACGTGTTTGGGTTATCGAAAGCCCTGTCTAAAACCGGTGTGGTCGGTGCCGATAGCCGGTCTCTGGCCCCATTCATCGCCGGCTTCAACAGGTCCTACGGCCTCAGCGAGTTCATCGACGCCGGCCAGCTGAAGGAGAACGCCGACTTTAAGCTGCGAGCGATGCTCCGCCTCTACGCCGATAATAGCCAGTGCAAGCACATCTACTTTGCTGCCTGCCACGACGTCGGCTACATCTCTGAGCTTACACCTTTTACGGGGAATAGCTCCAAGTTTACCCTCATCAATACCCCTGGGGTCCGCTTTCACAACGAGTTTACGAAGCTGGGCATGGGTATTGAAGAGTTCCGTGTCTCCTTCCGGCATTCCCCCCTTGACGGGTTTGCCGCATATCGCCCTAACGGTAGTATAGGCACGGCTGGCAAACCCACCACCATCACAGGACCACCCGCAGCCAGTGTCACCTATCAAGGCGTTGGCGAGCCCGACCATTAACGACATATCCAAGGCTCCGTGCGTATTTTACTCGATTGGAAGGTGCAGATCCGGCAAGTCCTGCAAGATGCTGCATGACGGCCCATCGAACGACACGAGAAACCCTGTGCAGTACGCGGATGCGCCTTCGCCCACCAACCCGGTCAGCACGGTAAATAACACAACATCCCTGGCTTCGCAACTAGCCACCCTGCCCAGGGCATTTAGGATTCCCGAAGGTCACGTCATGGTAAACGAGAACAACTACCGTCTCGATCCGTACCTGCTGTCCATCAGCGCCGATGTCATGAACCGCCTAAAGGCCCGCGTCGACAAGCGGCGGGTATGCAACAGCTTCCACTTGCAAGGGGTCTGCGACACCGGCGATCGCTGTGAATACGATCACGAGCCTCTCGACCCAGAGGTCCTGCCGGCCTTATTGTCGCTCGCCCGGTCCCAGCCATGCCCACGACGTGGCGGATGCAGATTGGAGAGTTGTTATCACGGGCACATCTGCCAGAATCTTGAGTGCAAGCATCGCGGAGGCAAGATGTATTGTAAGCTCCCTTATGTTGCGCACCTCGAACCTCTGAACAACGTTCATTACCTCCCTGCCGTCTCCAAACCGACCCGGAAGACGAATGGCGGCAGTGCAAGCAGCACGACTAGCCGTTAGTTCTTTTGATCGACCGGCGTGCCGATCCATGTTGTATCGTCGATTTCATTGTTGGAGTACTGTATCTGGCTCACCGGGTTTGGGATATTTCCAACTCGATAACTGTCAGGCACTGATCTAGCAAGCAACCCTCGGAAGTGACCTACAGGGCGGGTGTTAGTCACAGGATGGTGGGCAGAAACCAACCACGGGTGTCTGCATCACAAACTAGTGCAAGCGGTAGTTTCCGAGTTCGTGTTTCTGCCCAGGTACTAAGTCTCGGTCAAGAATTGGATCGAGGCCTTTCCTGAACAGGCCTGTGGGAGGTTCACAGCGGGGTTTGCTTAGACCATCTGTTGGCGGGAAGAAAGGACGCATATCTGGCGAGGGTGTTGCCAGGTAGCAACCAGCTTGTTAGTATAGCTCAATGTCAGATACCATGTGTCCGCCTCAAAGCCAGGAGATACAAGTACAATGGTGATATGGTTTGCCCCACGTCGAGTCATGGCGCCAGACATCCATTCCTTCGCCTCCTCGACCCCTTTCCTCTCGAAATCTTAACCCTCGCCCTAGATATCGGTACCTCGAGAATCCCGAAACACAGAGACCCACTTGCCCTTTTCTCTGCAACCTCAAGGCGTGTCTGCACGCTGGTTGGCTAAATCCCTAGAATGTGGCCCCCCGAAACTCGGGCGAGACAAGGCTCCATCCCGGCCGGCAACCGCGCCCCGACCGGCCGCTGTTGGCCACCCTGGCCCACTGTCCCCGGCCCCGTCCCCCGGAGACGCCGATGCCCGCCCCCATCATTACCTAGGTATACATACATTATGGGCGAGCTGAAGTTTCGACTCAGTCCAATTGATGCAACCCGATGGCGGCCCCATTCCGACCTCAACCGGAGGGCCCTTTTCTTCCCTTGTGACAGAATTCAGGTCCGGTTAGGTACTTGTCCGGCCACCGCCGGCCGGAATGACAAAACCACAACCGGGTCGCCAAAATTTGGCAGACGATGTTTCATTTTAAGGTAAGGGGAGAACGGCCCCCAGATCGGAAGATCTAAAGTTCTATAAGACGGCCCGCTCATCACGACGGATCTTGTTTCTCATCTCATCATCTTCATCAGACGAGTCAGCACCACTAACACTGTCTACCTAGCACACCACCAACACAACACCAACAAAACCACCACCAACAACTCCTCCTTATTTACCTCATTCCATTTCCCACTTTCACATTTCCCCAAAACCTTCACAATGCAGCTCACTCTCCACCTCGCCCTCCCCCTCCTCACCGCCGCCACCGCCACCGCCACCACCACCACCCCCCGCGGCATCACCGACAAGATCAAAGGCGCCTTCGGCAACGCCGACGCCATGGTACGCGAGTTGTCCGATTGCATGGTCGCGTGCGCGCAGACGGCGCTCTTCGACCTCAGCGCGAAAAAATGCTCGTTCGGAGACGGCGGCGACGACAGAATCGAGGTCGAGCTCGTGGACTGTCTGTGCCAAAAGGACGACGGCAACGGCACGGCCGCCGACCCGGGTCAGGCGTGGGAGAATGGCGTGCAGAGGTGTTTTGCGCCGGACTATCTGGCGAAGAAGGCCGGGCGGAATGCCGGGTTTGCGAGTTTCGACTGCCGGCCGGAGGGGTATGAGGAGGGGAGGATGGTGGAGATTTGTGGGGCGATTGAGGGGAAGAGTGTGGAGGAGAGGAATGCCACGCTTAAGGTGTATGCGGAGAGGGCTGGGGCTGTGGAGGATGAGATGTGGAGGATTAAGGGGGAGAAGGCTGGGGTTGTGGCTGGGGGCGGGAACGGGTCTCCGGCGGAGGGGAAGGATAGTGGCGCCGCGGGTGGTGCTGCTGGGCCTGGGATGGTTGCGAGGGTTGCTGGCGCGGCGTTGGCGGCTGCGGTTGCGTATGCTGTTGCCATGCTCTGAGCACGGGGGTTGTAGGGGTTCTTGAGCAGTGGTGAGTGACTGGCTGATGGGTGTTTTGGTGTTTACTATAAAGAGGGGATGGCGTTCTTTCGGGAGGCCTTTTTGGCTCTTCCTGTCTTTGGCTTCTTTCAATATGTTGTTTTCTTTTTGTTTTGCTGCGTTCTGCGTTTGCTTTTAGCTTTTAACTTCCAGGTTTAGCGCAATACACAAGTCTTTTCGGAGCAATGGAACTTACAGTCTAAAGGTAGGGTACCTAAGGTACCTACGTAGTGTGTTAATGGATTGGCAAAACTGTCACTCTCTCAGCCCATGTATCCACGAGTTGCTGTCATAGCATGACTTCAAACCTAGCCCCTGCTATCTTTAAGGATACATGTACGATTGTGGGTACCTCACCATAACCTAAGTAGTAGTAAAACATTATTGGCAATTAATTATGCCTTCGATTACACGAACCTCCTAGACTTAGATTGTAACTAATAAGTAAACTAATCGAAGGACGGACTAATCGCCCGTGCTCAATACCGTGGCCAGTTGTCTTTTAACGCTTAAAACTCCCATTGCTTCATTCTGCAGCGTTCCAGCCTACCTAGGTACCCTGTCCCGCGGCCCAGTGGAACGGCATAAGCCTCGCTGGGAAATCTAGTAGAAGAAGGGTTAGGCCACAACAATACAGTTGAATCTGTTGCATTCTCGCCTAACGGCCAGCAGGTTGTATCTGGTTCGAGCGACAAGACTATCAAGATCTGGGACACTACATCGGGGCGCTGTATACAAGCCTTGGAAGGCCACAACGACTTCGTTAATTCAGTTGCGTTCTCACCTAACGGCCAGCAAGTTGTATCTGGTCCGTACGATAGGACGATTAAGATCTGGGATGCCGTATCAAGGCACTGTATACAGACGTTTGCAAGCAGCAGCTGCGTTTGGTCGGTTGGGTTCTCGCCTGATGGCGAGCGGGTCGCATTAGACAACAAAACCGCGGAAATCTGGGATACTGCGTCCGGGCGATGCGTGCTAACGTTGGAAGGCCATCGTGACGAGGTTCTCTCGACCGCGTTCTCGCCTGATGGCCAGTGGCTCGCATCTGGATCGGACGATGGGACCATTATGATCTGGGACGCCGTGTCGGGGCACTGCGTGCAGAGGATCGATGTCGGTTCCCCGATATACGATATATCGTTTGACCGAACCGACCACCGTTACTTACTTACCAACATTGGCCGTATTCAGATGACAACAACAACGCTCCCTGAAATTTCAATCAAGCCAGACAACCTAGTGAGACATGGTTATGGCCTGGAACGAGATCTGTCCTGGATTACTTGCAACGGCCAACCCGTTCTCTGGCTGCCATCGGAAATAGGACCTCTGTGCTTCGCTTCTCAAGGACGGATGATGTGCATCGGATGTCTTTCGGGACGGGTTCTTTTTATCGGCTTCTCACGAGATGTGTGATTCGTTTTAAATCTCTCTTCATTTTCCTTCTATTGAACTGGGGTGTCGACCTCTGGGCCGTGTGACCAGAGGGCCAGTGAGCCAGGATTTTCTGATTTTCCGTTGTTTGTTGGGGGGGCGCCGTTGTATTTAGGGCGGGGACGAGTCTTTCTTGAAATAAGGACCGGGCAGGCAATTGTTACTTTTCTTTTCCACACTTGTAGAAGTGACTCTTTGACGCGGTTCCTTGAACCGCGCGGCCCTGTGATCAGAAGGCCAAGCGCGTAGGCGTTTGAAACCCGGAACCGTAGGATTCGCGGCGGGAGTTTACTTGTTTGCTGAGCCATCTCCTCATTCATACGGCATTGACATCCCAAAGAGCGCGGCACTTGGCCCAAACGTTGGGCAGGGTAGTAGGTATGCTTAGGGGGGCGTCTATGGCACAAACAGGGTATATACCGGGCCTACCGGCCGCACCCGGTGTGCTCGGTGTGTGTGGGCTTCCTACGTGTAGTGCTGGTGCTAGTCCTGGGTGCCGCGTTGGTGCAAGCCGTCGAGATCAGGGTTTGGTTATAGCTGGCTCGGTCATGTGAAGCTTAAAGCTGGATGTTGGCCAAGGTCGATCGAATGCATGCAGATAAGGACCAACGAGGCTACCCTATTTTTAGTGAAGCACCTGCGACCACTCTACTTAACAGCTCCAGTAGTGTTGGCAGGTGAGCTGCAGTGTTGTTGTATTTGTATGTGGCTGGCGTGCCGCGTGCAACCCTCCTCTCTGGGCTGCAACACAACCCTCTCCGCTCTCAGCTCATGCCGCCATTCCGCAGCGGGATTCGCACAATTGTACACTTATCAATGCCAAGAAGCTCATCGGCAACAACTTTGCAGCAAATCGAAGTACCTTCTCTAGATCTCGAAAGCAGGGGAGGAAACAGTAAAGGTACGGTCTCAAAGGTAGAACACGTGGTTAGGTCAAGAAACGAGTCAAGTACCTGTTTTGCTATGATCCATCATTCTGATATTCCCACTTAGTAGGTACCTCGTTAATAATACACCCAAGTCTTTTGTCCTTTTATGCAACCGCCAAGCCCCCGAAACAATGCTGTATCCCCCCTTGTGTACAACGTTCCCCAACATACAATATTCCTTCCCACCCTTTTGTAACACGCACCACCTTTACGTCGTGGTATATGCCCTTGGCATGCTCGTAATATCGGCCTCATATTCCGCCGGATAATACCCCAACTGACTCCCCTCCCTCCCTCCCTGAAGTAGCGGTTGTGAGCTCATGGCGTAGCTGCGATCCCCGCCAGTGGGTGCTGTGCCGAAGGGCTGCCTTTCCAGCTCACTCATTGACCGGTTCCCAGAGCTGGGCCGGTTGTCGGGCTGTATGCTTACGGATACGATCCTGCCGCCGGGTTGGATGTAGTAGGCCACAGCAGACTCGCTGTCATTGGTCGTGCCGTCGTGTGCTTGCCAGGCCGTCTGTGAAAATTGCGAGTTGTTGGCGGTTGAGTATGTGCTCTCGGGCCCAAAGGCCGACTCTGCGCGGTTGTCGAAATGGAAGGGTCTGTTGGCGGGACAGCGAGGCAAGTGGCTCTCGGAAGACGCCATGGTCGAAGAAGAGGCAGCCATCAGAGGCGCATTGGCTCCTCGCCCTCCCGCAAGCGTGAAGTGGGACTGGAGACCTTTGTCCATGCTGAACTTCTTGACCGCCAAGCTGATGAAGAAGGAAGCGATGGCAGTCGCAGTAATGGTCCAGAAGACTCCACGAAAGCCCGTAATATCTGAATGTGTCAGTGCTCCAATCGTCGCCTTGCGTGGGGAGGTCAACAACCTACAGGCCTGCAACGAAGAAATGCGGACGGGGTCTTGTGGATCCATGTGAGACATCACTTCGACATACGCCTCGGAGTTGTGCGCGATGCTCTCGGGTAGACCCAGCTCGGCCAGCTTGTTGATCATGACGTTCTGGAACACAGACCCGCCAACGGCCACACCGATCGACATGCCGAGGGCACGCGTGAAGGCATACATAGCCGCAGCACGACCGGCATCCTCAACAGCGCTTATTGCCTGAATCCCGATGCTGAGGCTGGTGAGGAGCATGCCGTGGCCGACTCCAAACACGACAAGAATAGCAGCCCACGCAGCCGTCGGCGTGTCAGTGTCGAGTAGAACAAGGAGACCACAACCAATGGCTGTGATCACCCATCCAGCCCAGATCGCCCACCGGTAGCGGCCGATCCGAGCCGTAACTCGTGAAACGACAATACTGGTAGGAAGTAAAACGCAAGTCGCCGGGAATATATCTAAGCCGGCCCGTACTGGAGACTCGAACTTGACTGCGGTGAAATAAAAGGGAATGTAGTAGAGCGCACAGAAAAGCTGCGGAAGGAGCACTGTCAGTCGATGAAAGGGCACGGCATTGCAAGGTAAACGTACAATAAACCCTTGGAAAAAAGTGCCAATGTATGCAGCGAGGGCCGAGCCGGAACTAAAGAGGGATTGGCGTATAAATGGTTCTCGGGCTCCATAGATTTCCCAAACGATGGCGATGACGACGGTGACGATACCAACCACGATGGGTGCGATGGTCTGGGCACTCCCCCACGCATACTGAACACCGCCCCATGAGATGCCAATGAGGAAACTGGTCAAGCCGCCGATAAAGAGAAAGCCACCGAGCCAGTCAACACGGGCGATCTTTGAAGCCAGGGACGTCTTGGCGGTGGTGAGCTTGACAAAAATCGGGACGAGAATGAAGCCTAGGAAGCAGAAGGGGAACTGTAAGAGCGTGGTCAGTCGGGAGTGCGGCATGAGAAAGCAATAAGAGGTACATGTATGCGCACATTGATGTAGAAACACCAAGCCCAAGTGGCGTGTTCAACGAATAAACCACCAATCAACGGTCCGAGCACGCTTCCCAATGCCCATGAAATTTGGACCAACCCAAAGTACTTGGGCCGCTGGCGGAGGGGAACAATATCGGCAAAGATAACTTGGCTCAGGGTGATGATACCGCCGCCACCGATGCCCTGGACGGACCGGCCGACGAAGAAGACAGCGAAGGTTTTGGCTATGGGTGCACACAGAAGGGTGCCCAGCGTAAACAAGAAGATGGACATGATGAGCATCTCTTTCCGCCCAAAAATGTCGGACAAGGCAGCGATGAAGGGTTGACAGACGGCTGATGTCAGAAGGTAGGATGTCCCGGCCCAGAACGCATCTGTTGCGGTGCCTCCAAGTTCGACGGCCAATGTCTGGGCTGATCAGTTGAAATTCTGTTGTTGAACTCTTGGTAGGCAGATGGCCACTCACCGGCAAGACGGAGACCAAAATGGTGGCATCCAGAGCCACCATGAGCGAGACGACGGAGAGAGTAATTATGACGGCGTACTCCTTTCTGCCCGGCTTCCACTCCGCCTCGGCGAGCACGCCCTTCTCCAAGCGAGCATCGTCCAGGCTCGATTCCCTTGTTTCAACCATGACGGGGTATCCTACGGCTTCCGTAGACCTACTGGAACCTTGGTAGAAATGAGCCATTTCCTCGACTGAGAAACCTCACGACAAGCGTGAGGATGGGGGAGAAAAGGTGAGATGGTAGAGCTGAGGGGTGATGTCCCTAAATACAGCAACGGAAGGAGAAGACGACGACTAGAACGGAGCGAGTAATGGTCAACCTAGGACATGGCTGGGGGGAAGGGTGGTCTTGGTGTGAACATCACCACAACAACTACATCGCCGATCTCTGGGTGCCAGTCGCCTTTTCACCTCCATGTTTCGACGGTTCCCTACTCGGTCCAACAGAGAGAGGCCCTGTCGACCCACAGCCTAGTCATGGGCTGCCCGATGGCAGCGCCGTCCTGGACTCCCAGTGACAGGGCTGTGGGTCTATTTCCGGCGCGGTTCTGCGTATGTGATGACAATAGGTGGGCCAGTGGCCCCCAAGGGCCAAAGGACTGTTGGGCGCTCAAGGTATGAGCGTATGCAGCCAAGCTCAGCCCGGAAAAAAAGAAAGCGAAGTCTCAAAGAGGAGCAAGATCCCGGAAGAGGTGGTTTGGCAATGGGGGAATGGAGAAAGGTGCGTCACACCTTACCGGGTCATGTTGGTTGCCCGACAGCGACCACCCTGTAACCACCCTCCCTTACTGGATGTGAATGCAAGGCGACTGGAGGAAGCTGCTGCAAGACAACTTCCCGTCTCCCACCCTTGGCAAGCCATCCCGGCGGCAGTGGTCTCGGCGATGCTACCTCACGCGCTTATCGTGTGTGTGGCAGGCGATCTCGGGCTGCGGTGCCAACTCCCGAGGCACAGCCACCAGAAGGGGGGGGGTATCGAAGAGACCAGGTCCGTTTGGGCTGCGAGCCTGCGACAGCTTTGCTGCAGGGCCTGTGTTCGAAACAAGTTTCTCCCCACTCAGCTGAGCCCCGGCTGTATGGTGAGAATTGGAAGAATTTGGATTTAACATTCGGAACTTACTAGGCGCTCAACTGTGCCCCCTGTTGCGTTGCAGTGGCTGTATTTCTTTTCTTTTGATTGTTACCCAGTTCAGGACTCATCTTTCCGTTAGTCCGTTTTAGGGCTGACGGTAATCTGTACTCGGTACTCGCTCCTTCGTAAACCCACCAGATCTCAGGTAAGCGCCGTTCCGGGCTTCCAGACATCGGAAATGACCGCCTCCCATAATGTCCAACGGTGAATTATCGAGGTAATTACCCTAGAAACACAGCGCGGTAGCGGTGACGTTAAGATAAGGTGCCTGTGGCACGATGGAACGGATGGATGCCACAGGATGTATCTGTAATTCTACAGGTCGAGGACTCGGACACCGGTTCCATTCGCGCGTGTTGGTTGTGGGACCCCCAAAGTCTTGGCCTGCTACTGGGGTGACCAATCCCTTGCACCAAAATTCCGAATCTTTTCAGACCGTCATTGCTAGGTTTACCTTCGACTTCAATGTTCAGGATACTGCCAGGTAGCTCAAATCATCTTCGAAGACGTCATAGTTAGGTCCTCGATTCAGTGCACACCCGTTCGATCAGCATTTTTCACGGCCCCCATTCACCATTCACCATTCACCACTCACAGGCGAGGTCGCAGCCCTGGTCACGTCGCACCCGCGCCAAGCGGTGCTCAGCGGACGAATACCCCGGACAAGGTTCCCTTTCGGGCAATCAATCCACCCCACAACAGTGTTCCCCAACTGCATGTGATAACCACGGCGCCATTGGGCAGTGCCGACGTTTTGACCCCCCTACATGTACTCACTGCAACATTCGCCGTACATACGCCGCACAGCCACAGGGCCGTCTGATGTAGCCTCGAGTCCTCCACAGCTGGCCAGCTAGCTGTTGGCTGGGCCAAACGCCGGTCGAGGTCTCATTCCTTGCAGCCGGGGGACCACTCCGGCGCCGTCGGGCAAAAAATGAAGGTGTGGGCGGGATAATAATAGACGGATTCGGAATAGTGGTTAGTTGGATCCTGGAGTGTTGGTTGTCGGTTCGGGAGACAAGTTGCAGGTTGACCCAAGCTTGGCCTATCTTATGCCCCCAGTGGATCAGCTTGGACAGCTGAAACCATGGAGGGCGGACCGGGACGGATAATTCAAATACGACTCGGGATGGTCTCGATGCAGTGGGAAGCCTACTTTGTTGGCTATGATTCGCTCTACACAGGTGTTGCTTGGTGTTAACGAGTAACGACCATGGGAAAACATACCTCTGGCTTCTCGCTCCCGGGCTTCGCCTGCCTTGCGCCATCAATCTTTGTGCAAGATGCAGCCCGAGGCATAGGCGGTCACAGTATCAATCATGGGTTCCTATACTCAGACTCCTCGTTCTTTCTCCCTCCAGGTCCTGCCGCCAAACTCAGCAGCCGAAGCCGTGACATTGCTCCGCCGGACCTGATCATCATCACCTCATGGACGGGAGCGGCGTCCAAGCACGTCGCCAAGTACACGGAAGCCTACAACACGCTCTACCCCGGCGTGCCCATTCTCGTCATCACCACCGTCATCTCCGACTTAGTGATTCACTCCACAAATCACAAACTCCAAGCCCTCGCCCCCGCCGTCGACTACATTCTCTCACGCGAACCCGTCGAGACCGCGCCATACCAAACAGATTCCACCTCTCTACAGTCCTACGACACCTACTCCCCACCACCACCACCACCACCAACAACAACCAAACCCCGCTTCCCCTCCCTCCTCCTGCACGCCTTCTCCGAAGGCGGCGCGCACAAAGCCGTGCTCCTCGCGCGCGCCTACCAACAACACCACACCCACACCCACCCCCCACCACCCCCCCGCATCCCCGTACAAGCCCTCCTCCTGGACTCCACGCCCGGCACGGCCTCCTACACGCGCGCCACCACCGCCTTCGCGCGCGCCCTGCCCGGCGGCGCCGCGCCCAACACCCTCGTCGGGCGCGTGCTGGCGCCCGCCGCGTCCGCGGGGGTGGTGGGTTTCATGTGGGCGGGCCTGCGGGTGCGCGGGCGCTATGGGCGCAATGATCTGATTGCGACGACCAGGGCGGCGTTGAATGATGGGGCGTTGTGGGATTTGGGGGAGCGGGGGGGTGGTGAGGACGTAATTTGTTTGGGGAGGAGGATGAAGTGGTCGCGTGGGCGGATGTGCATCGCCATGGGGTGGAGAGCGCAAGGTGTGGCTTGACGAGGGGGGGTGAGGGTGGGAGTGGGAGGGCGGGGAGTGGGTTCCAGTCGACTGGTACTACGGGGGGTGGTGTGGGTGATGGTGCTGGTGCAGACGTGGAGGGGGTCGGGGCGGAGGGCGGTGGCGCCGCCGGGGTGGGGAGCTTGATGGTCAGGTTCAAGAGGACTGAGCACTGCGCACATGCGAAGGGCGTGGTGAATGGTGGGGTGTATTGGGCTGCGGTGAGGAGGACGTGGGAGATGAGGGTGGATGGGGGGATGGGTCTGCGGATGGGCTTGGGGAGGCGGTTGAGCTTGGATTCGCTTTGTCTTGGGGAGTATGACGAGTGTGGCTAGTGTTAGTATTTTTTACTTTTCTTTTGTTGATGGTAGGGGGGGGGAGGGAAGGGTATGGCCCGCCCTAACGGATAACCGACACAGTATTACAGGGGATTATATGCTGCTTGGCCCCGGGGATTCGCTCTGGTCTAATCAAGTCCTATGATAGGCCGGATTGCAGGATGCTCATTGGTACCGGTTCACTAGTGTCTGAGGTCTCGTCTGAAACGACTCAGGAAAATGGATATTGCCACCAGGTCATCTCACAATTACATATTATGGCACGAGGAGCTGTTAGCGACGGGAGTACCCGACGGGGGGCAACGAGCTAAGTTTGGGGTGCCAGACCTACAACCTTGCCTCGTTCTTCCGGCTTGGATTCCAACCATTATTGTTCTCGCTCAGTATGATAGGGACCAAGGTGTACACAATCTAATAGGTAGTTCCTAGATTTATTTTGTCCTTGGATAGATAGTTTGCCCCGGTCATCTGTGACATCATTCCTTGAGCAACTTGTCATAACAGTGGTGGTGTGGATTGAATGGTGGCATGATTCCAGGGGTTAATCTAGGACAGGTCCAGTTGACCGTTGAGCCCTGCAGGGCCACAGGGCCGGCGATGGAAGGATGTTAGAAACCCCGAAGAATTTGCCACTCGAGTGAACACGTCATGAGCCGAACAGCACTTGTGATGTGAAAACCCAAACGTGGGCTTGCCCTCGTTCGCCGATCGATACGCAAGACCAAACATGGCGAGTCTCGTTAGCTCTAGCCGTTCCATGTACACTCACAACCAACTCCGACATAAATACAGCCCACCACCCACCCAGGTTCCGATATCGTACACGGATATATTCGTAACTCATCCCCATCTCGTCATCGCTTGCGCCCCTTGATCATCTTGGGGTCTTGTGAGGGCTCAATTGTCTTGTGGTTTTAGCTGGCTGCTCTCCCGCTTTGGCCACGCCGGGTTGACGCTCGGCGGGTATGACGAGCCATTGCCGGACCTCGACGAGGCGCCATCGTCAAAGGCGCTCAGATGGCCGTTAAGCTGCCCGGGTGGCGGATATTTGGGCTCAGAGCCGACCTGCAGCGGGTCGCGGGACCGCCTGCCGAAGCCGCTGGGTGATCGGTCCGGCGACCTCATATCCTGGTCCGGCCGTGGTTTCCCTGCCACCGGCAGCTCATCAAGCCCGTAGTCCGCCCTGTAGTGTCGGTCTTCCACGTCCTCGCTCTTCTCCCGCTTCCTCCGCCTGAAGTGGAAGTATAGCACCACCAAACTCGTGGCCACGACTAACAAACCCCTGCGATGCGTCAGTGGTCCGGATCGACAAACGCGATGTGGGGCAGTGTAGGCTTACACCACAACGCCAACAATAATCCATGTGACTTTGTTAGATGAAACCCATGGCTTCTTGCAGAGGTCGATGTCCGGCTGTGGGTGGCAGTCCTTCTCCTCTCCCTCGCGTCGGATCAGCATGTCGACGACACGTTTGACGGTAGTCGCAAACGAGTCGACCGCTGGAGCGATGTTCCCCGCCCGTGGTTCCGTTGACCCCGCCATACCGTCGTTGTTCCCCTGATAAACAAACGTGCGAACGGGTTTCTTTCTGTATTTGAGGTTGCCTTCTTGTGTCGGGATTGGGCCTGCCCAACTGCCCCTTCTGACCTTCGCTCTGTTTCCCTCTTGTCGCCTCAAGGCGGATCTGTGTTGACTGGAACGGTGACTTGGCCCAAATTGTCGCGGTTTCCGCCAATTGACGATCGCAATAACCTGGTCGATCGCGGGGAGGAGTGGGCGATTGAAGTCCGTGTTGTCGCGCGCTGGTCGGAGGAATGGGTGACGTTTCGAGTTGGCATGCAAACGCAATACTGGTTTATTGTTCTTGCGCGCTTCGGACCCCGCCCTGTCGATCGAGTCCGCACTGTCGCCCTGGTTGGGTAATTCGATTTTTCTCGTGTAAAACCGATTGAAGTTGGCATGGAGATTGTGAGACGGCAAACAGGGGAATGAAATAATATAAACCTCCCGGGTCGCAAATTCAGGCGGGTGACGTAGGATCCAAGGGCCCACTGGCGGCCAGGGGTTCCAACAAGCCTAGCGTGTCAAGGGACATTTGCCAACCATGTCAGCCAACTGAGGGCCATGATTCTGCTGGGTGGAATCGCCGGCACACAAACCCGAGCCAAGCAATATGCCGCTGTAATGTTCCTGCCAGCGATTGGCGCAGGGCCTCCCCCAGTTTCCTGTTTCGCGCTCAATGCAGGAACTCGACGAATCGTCCGCAAAGGCAAGTTCCGCGTTATCGGTCGTTGCACGGAACATAAGATCATCACAAGGCAGCGCTTGCAGAAACCGGATGGCTGCAGACTTGACTGTAACGAGGTAGTGTCATAGACGAGGGGAACGTAATTTGGTGTGTCTGGCAATTTTGAGGTTATTTCCCCATCGTGTTTGTCAAACGTCATGATATTTCACTCCTCTGTTCTCTCAGATGTGTTAGGGTATCAAATCCCGCAGGCACGCCGAAAACTCGTATTGATGCAAGGCTGACGACAACACAAATTTGATGATCCGAGGCCGACATGTTGTTTCTGTGGAGGGGTCATTTTTAGCCCCGCGATTCGGCGCAAGCGCGATGCAGAGTCCCTCTTCCATACGGTCTTATCGATTGCGCTCAGAAGGGAATATCGGTATGACAGGGAACGCCGGTAAAAATATGGAGGGGAATATGAAGTTCCTCGCCGGCCTCACTGTTTTGTTGCGTGGGGGGACTGAAAAAAACAATCAAGAAGAGGATGTCTATTTGAACAGTAATCAAAGTCTATTCGGACCATAACCCCACACACGCACTCATAAATAACCCTAACCCCCGTACTCCGCCCAACTATTCTGCCACCCCGCCAGCCCCGCCATCACTTTCTGCCGCCATCACTTTCTGCCGCCGCCAATTCAACTGCGTGCTGCAGCTCAATTACGTCGACTTGGGCAATCGCAAAAAAACAGCGGGAACAGCGTTTCTCGCCATCTTGCAGTAAGTTACCAGTTCAATTGAGCTCCTACACATGTTGACCGCGCCGCGCGAGTCTGTGCTGACGCCGTCAATCCACGCCGACCGTCCCCAGTGGGACGGTGTCGACCTTGCTACCGAGGATGCTGCAGATCATGCCAACGCTGAGCAGCCTCGCAAGACAATAAACGGCCTTGAAATGGCCGTGGCTGCGTCTCGCGGAGCTTGTGGAGGTCGAGGTCGTGGTGCCAGCTCCCGGCGAGGCGGAGCTACAAGTTCTACACCACGTGGAGGTGCCAGGGGCTCACAGCGTGGAGGATCGCAGCGTAGAGGCGCAGGTTCACGCGGTGGCAGGGTGGCTAAACCCGCCAGAGCTCGGGCGACAGGTGCCCGCCAGTCTGGAAGACTGGCCGCGCAGGTGACAGAGGAGTCGCTTGCTTAAGTCTTAGATAATCACAAATCCGAAAAAAGCACACTCGCGGGTTTTATTGCAGAGTCGGTTGAATTGGCTCCGTTGCCGCGTTGGAAATTGAATTGACTGACTGCCGTGGCGCGGCGCCGACGACGACGTTGGTAGGCGACTGCGACTTGGCGGGGTAGGCGGTGTGCTGTTCGTGGGGCTGGCGCTGCAATTAGTAGGCGGTGTGCAATTTATTAAGGGGCTACGGTCCGAATAGACTTTGATTACTGTTCAAATAGACATCCTCATCAAGAAACCAGATGCAAAGAATGGCAGAGTGGATCGATCATGTCGGGCTGCACAGGTCCAATTGATGCTGGAATGGAACTGATGGCTGTGGCCCGTGCGTTGTCGGCAGCCAAGAGGAGGGGGGAATTGATGGATGTTTTTCCATTGCCGCGGAAAGTTCCAGCCCATCATCTGATCCACCGTCTCATTGGCGGTGGCTTGCAGCTTTCCACGACTGACCGACAGTTGATCGAGACGCAAAAAAGATTATTCCTACACTACCCACAAATTACCGCAAAGGCCCCCCAGCACCACCGCCATAATGTCAGTCAACCCGGGGACCCTCCGAGGCACCCCGAGCCGCAACCAGGGCCGCGGTGCTGTCCCCTTTGCCAACAACAACAGCCCGGCAGGTCCATCCTCGGCAATCCCCAGGCCCGTTCTCGAAACCCCGCCGGCGGCAGCCAGTGAGGTTGGCGGCTCTTCGCTCAGCACGAGCCGGCAAAAGCAGACCAAGAGAGATGAGGTATGTTCGTTCCCATTACCCCTCCACACCTCCTCCTGTCTCGAACCACTCGTACTAAATTCACTTCATAGGCCATCCGCCGCAAGTTGGAGAATGACCTCTCCAAGAAGAAGCACCTGACTGGCCGCGCCCGGCAATCCCGCAAGGCGCCCCCCGGAACCGTCCTCGCCCTCAAGCCAAGTCAGGCGCTCCAGATCAAACCCCAAACTACCGTCGCCGAAGCCGCCCAGCTTATGGCTGCCAAGCGTGAAGACTGCGTGCTAGTAACCGACGATGACGACCGGATTGCCGGCATTTTCACAGCCAAGGATCTCGCCTTCCGCGTGGTGGGGGCGGGGCTGAAGCCGAACAATGTTACCATCGCCGAAATCATGACCAAGAACCCGCTGTGCGCTCGGACCGACACCAGCGCCACCGATGCGCTGGACCTCATGGTCCGCAAGGGCTTCCGCCATCTGCCAGTCATGGACGAGAACCAGGATATTTCGGGTGTGCTCGATATCACCAAATGTTTCTACGATGCGATGGAGAAGCTGGAGCGCGCCTATTCCTCTTCGAGGCGGTTGTACGACGCCCTGGAAGGCGTCCAGTCCGAACTCGGCACTAGCCAGCCGCAGCAGATCATCCAGTATGTGGAGGCTCTCCGCTCGAAGATGTCTGGCCCCACCCTGGAATCGGTGCTTAACGGCACCCCGCCGACGACGGTGAGCGTTCGGACGTCCGTCAAGGAAGCGGCTCAGATGATGAAGGAGAACCATACCACGGCGATTTTGGTCACAGACCAGGGCGCGATCACAGGTATTTTCACCAGCAAGGACGTTGTCTTGCGAGTGATTGCCCCAGGTCTCGACCCTGCGACATGTAGCGTTGTCCGTGTCATGACGCCCCATCCCGACTTTGCTCCCATGGACATGAGCATCCAAGCTGCCCTACGCAAGATGCATGGTACGTATGGACCCTCAGGTGTGGCTAGGCATCGGTCTAACAACAAAACACAGATGGCCACTATCTCAACCTGCCCGTCATGAACGACGGCGGGGAAATTGTCGGCATGGTCGACGTCCTGAAGCTCACGTACGCCACACTAGAGCAAATCAACACGATGGGCACGGGCGACAACGAGGGGCCTGCATGGAACAAGTTCTGGCTTTCCCTCGACCACGAAACAGAGTCGATGGTTTCCGGCGACGGGTCGCTTCACCACACAAACCCTGGGCCCCGGTCCCTGATGTCTCCCGACATGGGCCGTAGCGACCGCCTTGTGAGCGATAGCGTTGCGCCGGGCGACTCGGCAAGCCACGTCGGCGCCGACTCGCCGCACCACAGCGCCGTGGGCATCCACACACCAGAGCTTCCGCCAAGCGAGGTCCCCTTCCCCTTCAAATTCAAGGCCCCCAGCGGCCGCGTTCACCGTCTGCAGGTGACGGCCGCACACGGCATGGCCGAATTCGTCGCCAACGTTACCTCTAAGCTCGGCGCTGAGGTTGACGCCATTGGCGGTGCCCCTGTCGTCGAGGACAACACGCTGTCCGGTGGCTATGCCCTCAGCTACCTCGACAATGAGGGCGACTCGGTTTCCATTACGACAGACGAGGACCTGCTCGAAGCGATCCTCCTCGCGCGGCGGGGCCACCGCGACAAGGTAGACCTATTTGTGCACGATCCCTCGGAGCCCCCCGTTCCCTCAGCGCGGGTGCCCGCGCCGGAGTCCACGGTGCTGGCCACCCCGCCGGCGTCGTCTACCCATCGCGAGCGGAGGAAGACCATTGAGGATGAGGAAGAGGACAGTGACGAATCCGAGGACGAGGACGTGCCTGCTCGCCGCGGCAGGCATGGGCGCACACGCACGGCGCCGCCGCAGCAAATTGCTGAGCAGCTCGTCGCGGGCGTCCCCAACGAGCTGCTTCTTCCTGGGGCTATTGCGATGTTGGCGGTGGTGATTGCGGGAGTGTTTACCGTTTCGAGGTTGTCGAGTAGATGAGCCATTGGAGAGCGATAACCCGCGACTGAGGGGCTGGGGAGAGATGAAGGGGGATGATGGGGTCGGTCGCGCCAGGCTTTGGGAACCATTACATCGCCCAATTTGCTTCCTTTAGAAGGTAGGCTTGTTGTAGACTGCTTTTTAGCCTTCGTGAACTAGCTGTTGATTCAATACATCGTATCATCCACCACACTTTTGTATTGTCTGCAATTGAGTTTTGAGCTGCGTGCGCCGACTTTCATCGCCACCAAGGGGTTCTCGTTCTGCTCTTTTTCAAAGCCCCTCACTCCTCCAGGCCTTGGTGGAGTCAATCAACAGAGCGGGCCCGGATCGAATGCCGGGGTCTGTCGCACGGGCCACCATTCGCCAGCAACACCGAGAAAAGTTGCTCGGCTGATCGAATACAGCGCTCAGCAATGCGTTGAAAGCCAGCATTTCCAGGATGATTCTCAGGAATTTTGGGGTACGGCACGGTAAGTAACATGACTCTGTCGGTAATAACTATGCGCGTCAATTGACCATGCCCAGGCCGCCAGGCGTTGGCGGCACCTGTCTCCCGATCATGCCTCCGAACGATCTCCTCCTCGGCGACACGATCGACAACGGCGCCGACAACAGTTGCCGAACCCACCACAACCGCGAGCGCACCTACGACGGCGACACATGCCTTTGCCGCAGCTCAGGCCGCCGCGCGGCAGGCTGAGCTGGCACGCATCCCCGAAAACTACACCGACTACATGCACCAACGGGAGCACACGCGGGGTATCGGCTCGCGTGTCGAGTCACGCTACCACCCGGACCAGATGCTAGAGGATCCGCCGCGAGACGCGACGCTTGAAATGCTTATGGCCGCCCAAGTGCACATGGGCCACCATATCTCCCAGTGGAATCCCGCCAACCAACGGTACATCTACGGCCAGCGCGCGGGCATCCACATCATCAGCCTCGAGACCACGGCCACCCACCTTCGCCGCGCCGCCCGCGTGGTCGAGGAAGTCGCCTACTACGGCGGCCTGATCCTGTTCGTAGGCACGCGCAAGGAGCACATGCCGGTGGTGGTGCGCGCGGCGGAGCTGGCCCAGGGCTATCACCTGTTCCAGAAGTGGACGCCCGGGGCGATCACGAACCGCGACATCATCCTGGCGAGCGGCGAGCTCAAGATCGTGGACGGGCAGGACAAGGTGCTGGACGGGTTTGAGACCCACCTGCGGGACCGCCGCCCCGTCGTGCCCGACTTGGTCGTGTGTCTCAACCCGCTCGAGAACTACCCGCTGCTGCACGAGTGCGGCGTGGCCAACATCCCCACGATCGGCCTCATCGACACCGACGCCGACCCGACGTGGGTGACGTACCAGATCCCGGCCAACGATGACAGGTTAGTGGTTGATTGCTCTTTGGGGGGGCGGAGGGTGAGGTTTACGTTGTGGCGGTAACTAATCTTTTGAGTTGTAGTCTACGATCCGTCACCCTTCTTGCGGGTGTCCTCGGCAGAGCGGGTGAGCGTGGGCAGCAGCGAAGGCTGGCGGACGCCGATGACGGGGTCATTAGCTGGAGGTCTCCTCGCGATGTCGAGACTTTTATGGAAAAGGATGCCTTGGCCAAGGCAGAAGAAGAGCTTCGGCAGATTATTAAAGCCAGGAAAGAGGGGATCTTGGACGACAAGCCGGCAACGGAGGAAGACTTCATGAGCGATGATGAGCTGTTGCGAGCGTTGAACGATGGTCCAATCCCAAGACCACCGCAGTGAGGGGGTATTGTAACATATAGCCATAGAATTACTGTTGTAAAATACTGCTGTCTTTTGCCTTGCCCCGTTGCGTCTTCTTTGCAATTCCACCTGGGCATTGACTCGAACGTGGCTTCCAGCTTCTCTCATCTTTCCTCCCTTTTGAGGTCCGTCCCCCTTGCCCGTGCGCAGATGGCTGACTCAGCAGGCGACGAGCCCCTCTAAATCCTGCGCATTTCCTCTCCCGCCGAGCACAAATCATCACCACGAACATTTCAGCACAGCATCGCCTTCCTGTCACGTCACTGCACCCGACCCTCACACCACGCCCGGCTAGAATCGTTCTGATTGGTGTGCCTGGGCACGAGGTGCTCAGATCCCAAACGGGTACCTGAATCACAGGCACCGGATTCGACAACAGGCGGCAAGTCCGGGTGCAGGAGCCGACGGAGCTTCCATTTTACTCGGGGGTTTGAGATTGGCAGAAACGCTTGCTGCCCACTTACACACCCAAATCGAGGTACGGCCTCTCTTATCTTTGGCCGCGATGCAGCCCCAGGCCCGGGTACCATTGGTCGGTCGTGTTGGTGTCGTAGCTAATGCGGTGATGCAGGGACCGCTCGGGTCTCTTCGCCCTGTCCTTTCCCAGGCGACATCGCTGTGCATTTTGCCTCTTGGTCGTGAGTGGATTAGATTCATTCCTCAGGGCTTCGAGAATGTCGGCTATCCTTGATGGTTCGGCCATGCCGCCGCCTATCTTGCCCCGCCATGTAACACTCCGTGATCGCCAAACTGTTGCAACTGTTGTCCCGTTTGCTTCTCAGCATCAAGTCCCCGGATCTCTGCTCCGCTATCTCAGTGACCAATTCAACAAGGAGATCGACGGCGGAGATACCTACCCGATGCTGGAGCCAATGGCCGTCGACACCTTCTCCGCATATTGGTTCCAAAAATTTGGCGGCGTCATGCTCCTCGGCCACATCGAGAGCGCTGCCGAGGTCGTCGAGGGCACGGACTGGTCGAAGGAGTGTCTCGGCACCTTCTACATCAAACCGAACTACCCTGGCCGCAGCAGCCACATTTGCAACGCAGGTTTCGTTGTCACCGACGCCGCCCGTAACCGGGGTGTGGGCCGGCTGATGGGTGAAACCTATTTGGAATGGGCGCCGAAACTCGGGTACAAGTACTCGGTCTTCAACCTCGTATACGAGACAAATGTTGCATCGTGCAAGATCTGGGACGCCCTGGGCTTCAAGCGTATCGGCCGCGTCAAAGGTGCCGGGAACCTTAAGAGCTACCCGGACCGGCTGGTGGACGCCATCATCTACGGACGGGACCTGGGCGACACGGCGGGCGGCGCGGGCAACGAGGAACTTGTGAGTGAAGAGCGTTTCGACAAGATCAAGTTCTACCTCAAATACGGCCGCTATCCCAACGGCGCTGACCGAGCCGAGAAAAGCAGGCTGCGTAGCGCTGCTACCCACTACAAGCTCCTGGAAGGCGACGTTCTGATGCTCAAGGACAAGGAGGTCATCTCGGACCCCCAGCGTCAGTACGAAATCGCACGGAGCGTGCACAACCAGGCCCATGGCGGCATCAACAAGACGACGGCTACCATTGCCGAACGGTACCACTGGAGTCGCATCAAGGAAACCGTTTCAGATGTAATTAGGAACTGTTCAGAATGCAAAGACTCGAACAAGGCCTCGTCCTCCCAAGGACAACAGCCCATTGTGGGCCCCCCTCTCAACAACTTAAAGCGCCCCAACCTTGGTAGCCCGTCGCCGACGGCTTGTAAGCGTGCCTCGCCAGGTCCCTCGGGATCAGCGGCTGGTATGCAGTTCACTGGGGTCCGGTCGCCAATGGCTGATCCAACCCACCTCTCTCCGTTCACCTTCTCATCCCACCTTCAGTTCGCTGATCCCAGCGCCATCTCAATCCTCCCTCCACACCCCCTCCCACCGCCAACCGATAATGTCATGGCCGGCCACGGGACCATCGGCCGGGACACCCACAACCCGATGCTCCAGCCGCTCCATCCCGATCACCACACACAACCCGCCCACCCGGTATCGCTCCGGGGCCTTGCTGCAGACCCACACTCGCATGCCGTTTCGGATTACCAGCCGATCGACCCGCAGATAATAGCGCAGTCCTCCTCAGCAAGCGACCTGCACCACCACGCCCATCACCATCACCACACACACGACCACTACCCCTTTTCGCCCCCGTCGCCCCCAACTCATCACACCTCGGCACATCACCACGACCCAGACACCGACCTAGACGCAGATGCCGCCGACGTCGAGACCTTCCAAGCACTTATTAACGCCGCCGTCACCGACGATGACGATGACGGCCAGGAGGATGGCGAAGATAACAACAACCGTAACAACAACGACAACAGCAGCAACCACAACGAAAGCAACAACCTAACACCAACATCCCGCCGCACCACCACCACCACCACAACAACAGAACAAGAAGACAACCTAACCATCGGCCCCCCAAAACCCGGCCATCCGCACCCCCTCACCAACCACCCACCCCACGACCCCAGCAGCAGCAGCAACAACAGCAGCGGCAGCCACCGCAAGACACAAGAGCAAGAGCAAGAAGAGCGCGATCAGCAGGCGGCAGTGGACCGCGACCTAGAGATGCTGATCGAGTCGCCAGCCGACGATGACGGGGACGTGGACGTGGATCTGGATGGGAATGGAGCCGCTGGAGGCGACGACGGGGACGAGCCGATGGTCATGGCCATGGCCATGTCTATGCCGGGGGAGGGGGAGGGGGACGGGCATGGGCAGGGGGACGGGCACGGTTTGGATGGGCCTGGTGCGAGAGGGGGGGCATGAGGGTTCTAGTTCTAGGAGTGGGTTTGGGGGATGTGGATATGGATGGGGATGGGGATGGGGATGGGGATGGGGAGTTGGTTTCCCTAAGTTAGCATGGCGGTGGTGCGGGGAGGATGGAGGTCGCTGGGTTGTTGGTGGATGGGGGAGAGGTTGGGGGAGGTGACGGCGGGATGGGAGATGGGGATGCCTAGGGGGGTTGATGGCTGGAAGCGCGGCGCATGGGGGCGGGGGAGACGGAGGGGGCGTTGGCCAGGGGTTTTGGGTGTTTTGGTGTCTTGGGGATTGTATTCATCTATTCCGTGGTCATGGTGTACGGCTGAACGTACCAGCCCGATCAGCCCAGAGAAACCAACAGGGCTTGGCATATTTTGGTAGTTTTATTTACTTGGGCTTCGTTGTGTATCTATTCACGTCCTCACGGTGCGATGTGGCGGGGTTGAGATGCTAAGGCTAGGAAAGGTGTTAGTTTAAACTTTCCTCCGGGCTGATAGACATGCACAGATTCACAGCACGCATCCACACAGTACCGCGCTCAGTTCTCTGTTCTATGCATTGCCCGACAGGGATGTTTCATTCCTCGTATCAAGCTACATAGTCTACCGCCTCGGAATACCACGGCCGCGGCCGCGCCCACGCAGCGCCCGCTGGGCCGCCCCAGGAGGCAGAGGCTGGCCCGGGGCCTGCGGCGCCTGGCTCTCCTCATTGCGGATCGTCTCGTCAACGCCCAAAATCAGGCAAGCAGCCTCGGTCGCGGCCTGGAGGGCGTTGACCTTGACGAGGGCCGGCTCCCACACAAAGCGCTCCATCATGTCGGCGACGCCCTCATTCTGGAAATCGACACCCGCCCACGTATTGCCCCGCCTGTGCTCGACGCGTAGCCTGTTGAGGATGTCGGTCGCGTCGAAGCCGGCGTTGTCGCACAGCTGGCGAGGGATGACCTCGAGCGCCTTAGCAAAGCTCTTGATGATAGCCTGTTGCTTGTTGCGCACGTCCTGGTCCGCAAAACGGTGCAGGTACGCGGACACGTCCATCTCGGTGGCTCCGCCGCCTCCAACGATGGTCTTGTTGCGAATGGCGCGCTTGACGATCATGATAGCGTCATGTAGTGACCGCTCCACCTCAGCAATGAACTGCTCCGCCCCGCCGCGCAGTACCAGCGTGCATGTCTTGGCCTCCGGGCAGTCCTCAAAAAAGTTGAAACGCTCGCCGCCGATCTGCCGCTCCTCAAACGTGCCGCAAGTACCGAGATGCTCGGGACGAATATCGGAGCAGGTGCTCTGGATAGTGGCACCCGTTGCTTGAACCACACGCTCCATGTCGTCAGCCGACACACGGCCGGCGCAGAAGATGTCGCGGTCGGCAAAGTATTGTGTCGCAAGGTCGCCGATAGGCAGCTTGGACAGTACCACCTTGGCGCCTGTCTTATACGTTGCCTCAAGCTTCTTGTTGATGATCTGCCACTCGGCGTCGACAATGGCCTGATATTCCGACACCTGCTCCACACGAACTTCGGCGTTGTCCTTCTCGGCCTTGAGTTCCAGTTCGACATTGAGGCAGACGATCTTGGGCTTCTTGAACGATTTTGGTTGTTGCTCGAATCCAGCGTACGAGAAAGTCTTCTTGAACGCCACGCCGTTGACAAAAAGCGACTCGGTAAGCGAGCCGCCGGGGATCTTCTTGATACCTATCAAGTTCTCGTTTAGGTCTTCTTGGTCGAGGGATAGAACAGCGTCGACAACCACTGGTGCTTGTTAGTTCCAGGTTCATCCATCCAACAACATAGGAATCTCACTCTTGGTGAAGAACTCGGTGTTGCGCTTGATCAGCTTGCTTGTCATGGCGGTCGCGGCCAGCTTGTTGAGCGTGTCCCTCCGGTTCGCCTCGTCTGTGCTGATCTGGATCTCCTTGATCTTGTTCACGGCCATCGTCGACGCTCTCCTCAAACCCTTGATGATGATCTGCGAGCTGACACCACCCTCCACATGTTCTTTGATCTCCTTGAGGATCTCCCCAGCCAAGACGACCACCGAGGTTGTTCCGTCACCCACTTCCGCATCTTGGGAACGCGCGATGTCGACGAGAATCCGGGCCGCTGGGTGTACGATGTCCAGAAGCTTGTCAAGGTCAGAATCTGGGCATAGGCGGTGCGGGAAGGGGGTGGGGAGATAGTCCGCATGCGCACCTTCATGACAGTGGCGCCATCATTGGTGATGGTCTGCTTCCCGTTCGCATCCACCATTAATAAATCGCCGCCATAGGGACCGAGTGTCGATTTAATCGTGGCCTGCACGGCTAAGCAAGCGTTGATGTTCGAAATGATCTGACCTTTGCCCTGCGAGGTGTCGGTGCCTACAAACGGCGAGTTAGCGGGGGGTTGTGTTTGGCAGCAAGGAGGGGTTCCCGACCCTCTTTCAGGACGATAATCGTCGGTGTTTGGCCTCCGAACGACATTTTCAGGCGAGATAGGAAGTCGTGGTATTTGTGCGGTTCACGGCGGAGCTTCAGGCGCGGTTACAACTGGAAAGAAAGGTGGTGCGGTGGCGTCCTGGTCTCTGGCGTAATGTCTCTCCTTGGGCGCCCCGCTACTTCCAAAAAAATATCGAAGCCCGTCGATGAACGCCAAGTTGGAGCTCCAGGCATGCAGGCAGCTGGAGTGGCCCAGTCTGCTGATGTAATCATATCAGCTGACATAACATGTGACTGTGTTGTTTTTGCACCGCCTGAGATTGTTCCCCAAGCCTGAGTTAGGAGTCCGCAGGTGTGCCAGTGTGGGCCCTGGCTGTGTGTGTATCGTGACCGAGGCCCAAAAGGAAACAATAATAAAATCAAAAGTTTACAAACAAGGGAGCCGCGAAATGTTCAAGATGCACATCTTTGAACAATGGTCAGGCGTATCCTAGCGGCGACTTCAATCATAAAAGGAGTCCTTCCGACGCTCGCTCCGGACTCGGTTGCAAACAGACGGTCTCGAGATACCCAACATTTTTTGCTTAGCTAGCTACCTAGCTCAGGCTGTTCGTCGTATTTCTCTCCCCCATTGGTCCTCACCCTCCCTTCTCGGGGTCCTCGACAGCATCGGGAAGCTCGGTCTCCCACGGCGTTCAGGGCGTTGGCCAGGGACGGGAATCAATTTCATTCATTATGGCCACCCTTGCGTCCCTCCCGAATGAGATCCTCATCGCCATTGCGGGCTATTTGGCCGACATCCAGGACCTTGCCGCCCTGGCGTTGACGAACCGCCGATTCTTCTCTATCGCAAACCCGGGGCTCTATGCCACTGCCGCCCGCAACTACAAGCCAGTGTTGTTCTACTGCGCCGAAAACGGGTTGATCGGACCTATGAATTCTTTGCTCACCCACGGAGCTGACCCGGATCGAGCCTTCCGTTCCCCTATTTCCCGGGACTCTCTCAATCGTGCCCTCGCAGCCCAAGGTCGCCGCCCGGGAAGGCGGCCGCTTATGGACTGGAAACTGATACTGGAGGAGACCACGTCAAGGACAAGAGAGGTCCTTGAAAGGGCTATTGTACATGACGAACTCTGCGAGCTGAAAGCCCGCTTCTATGCGGACACGAGCAAGCGCTCGTATGTCACTCGTGGGCTGCGAGATCTTATGGGAGAGTTTGACATCCATAATATAGCCGATATATAGCCCGTTGACAACTTAGATGGGAAATACCGGTGGACGCCTCTGCATGTTGCAGCTCAACGCGGCGACGACGTGCTTGTCACTATGCTCCTCGACAACAATGCCACCATCGATTCCTCGCACAATACCGTTGAAACATTTGCCAGCTCCAACCTCATCCCTCGGGCATACCATCCAAGAAGACTGCGCGAACCCGCCTCCCAAGCTGCGACCCCTTTATACTTTGCTATCTTGGCCGGACACAAGTCCACAGTACGTCTTCTACTAGCCCGCGGGGCCTCGATCGTCGTTTCTTCTGGCGGCATCACGCCTCTTCACCTCGCTGCTTGGTGCGGCGATTTGGAGCTATGCAGGCTACTCTTGGACGAAACCCCCCGCCAGGAAGTAGACTCATGGATAGACGCACGACTTACCCCCTTTCATTATGCCGTTGCTGGCGGCCACTTGCAGACGGTTGGCCGCTTTCTGCTCCAAAGGGGTGCCGACATCCAAGCCGACTTTGAAGGGGATCTACTTCCCAGCTACTGTGTTCCATATTCCATGGATGGTCCTGTGAATGCTTTCGGGCTTGCTCTTTGCGCCCATAAGTACCGCGATGCATTGATGCTCCTGCATATGAACCCAGATTTTGCCAGAAAAGGACATGAGAGGCCCTGGCAGAGCTCTATAGCGGTGTGTCTCCAGACCTTGCCAATCGAACGGTCAGACGACATGGAAGGACTGGTCGTCTCCATACTTCGGAACTTATTTCTACATTCCCAGGATTATACCAAACACATACACTCGTTCGAGAACTATTATATCTTGGCCCTGTCGCGGGATCTCCCTCAATTCCTGAGCCTGATGCTGGAAGATGCCGAGGTTCGGGGCCTTTCGCTTGCGAGCATCGAGCGCTGGGTATATGATGCCCTACAATCTATCCGTTCCAGCCCGGCAGTCGATGCCGTCATGGCGCTTATCCAATACGCTGTCTCGAAACAACGCATGCCTTTGCCTTGCCTCAGCCGTGTTTTTCCGCCATTGCTTTCAAGAGGCTGGTCCCGTTTTGAGGATATGTCGAAGGCGCGATTTGAAGCCAGGCTAGAGATGGCAAAGCTGGTGTACCACCTGCACCTTTCAGCCGACCCCAGAGGGGTCAGCGACAGTGACTTACACGACGCTCTTTTGAACGCTTGCCAGGCCGGTGGGCTGAAATTATGCCAATGGCTCGCCAGCCTCGGCGCATTACGCTTGATGGATAAGAATGATTTCGCCGCCTTGTTGGATCAGGCTGCACGTAAAGGGGACGAGTTATTGACTGGCTGGGTCTTGACCCAGGCCGAAAACGCAGGTCACAAACGTTCAATTATGGATGGCATCTGCTTATGGGATATAATAGCGCTGTCTGGTGTCTATGAGACCGCGATTCTTTTCGCCCACCATGGAGCAAATATCAACGTTGCGCTTGAGAAGCCACGGTGCCTTGGGGCAGTATATCCCTTGTTCTCGTGCCGAACCCGCCAACGAACGACAATCCAGGAATATCGTACCGTTCACTACGGTAGTAACATATTCTTTAAACTCTGTAGCAGGCCAGACCTGACCGGTGCCGTCGAGCTATGTCGGTTGGCTATTCACGCTGCCGGAGAAGACGCTGAAAAACTCTTTAGTTGCAGCTTTTTGACCGGACAGTCAGGGACCCTATCGCCAATCAGTCTTATCTGCAGTATAAGATCTCCCTTCGAGATTAATAGCCAATTATCAGTCTCGCCCCCCTGTGACCACAGGCCCGCAAGAACGAACGTGGATGATGAACCGGCGCGGCTAGCCATGCTACGGATGGTCCTCGATGCCGGGGCTGCCGAGGTACATACGCTAGCGGAGGTAGTCAATCGCGGAGAGGCCGAAGACTATGAGCAACCGAGCGAATTACTATGGCATGCTCTCGCCTCGGAGGATACGCACGAAATCGGCCGCCAACAAGCCTTGACATCCAACCCAAACGGGAGCCCGGTTTGGAGAGTCCACAACTGGCAGAGTGACCCCATTCGATGCGCCATACGCAATGGATTCCCGAAGTTGGTCCAAACAATGCTTGAGACAAGGCCGCTGCCAACCAGGAACCATCCCGCAGCTTGCGTTACTTGGAGGCTGCCTGCGGTGAAGGCGGGCGAGAGTACTCGGGAGACCGCCTTTTACCTCAAACTCTCAGCATTGTGCTCACCATGGCCAACTTGGACCATGCAGATCTACTCCACCCAAACGGCGAAACAGAGTTGCTAATGCTGCTAAAGTATTTTTGGATGTTCTCTTTCGGCCGACGTTACCGATGTTTATGTGAACCCGAGCTTCTTAGTCCCGAGATAGACAATTTAAGCAACATGGTCAGGCTTCTCCTTATTCACGGCGCCAAATGGAAGACAAGGTGTCCCGGGAGTGGAACATCTGTGATCGATGAGCTTAGGAAGTTGATGTCACCGGAGAGAAAAGCCGTCGAGGACTACACGGAGCATAATATTTCAAGGTTCCGGAAGCATATCGTACTAGATCTCAACTCTGTGGCCGCGTACAGCCCTGACAACTTCATGGACTTTAATCCCTTTGAAATGGAAGAGATAAAAGTAACAACGGGGAATCGCTAAGTATGTCTATTCCTTTTACCTGGCCCAGTTTTCACCTGGTCTTTGTCGCGTTAATACGACGACTCAATGCCGAACAGCTTCAGCGCAACACGATTGAACCAATGGAAAAACAGTCACGCACTCCCTCGATCTCGACATCTCAGATGCCACCCACGTCACCTCTGTATAGGAGGTACCTGATACCTTGAACAGCCCCCCTTTTTTTTGGCCCCTCTCGCTAAACTTTCCTCCTAAAAGCAATGTGTTTAAGGAGGTGATATATTGTTAGCCCACCGTTGACTAGAAGATGGGAGAGAACTGGAATTCGGACACGACGGGACTTTTACTCTGTTCTACACGGCATCAATCCCACGACTGCACGGCTCGCGAGGAGAGTTCTCGACTGGCTGATGGACTCGGGGAAGCTGCCGATGTACAACTTAGCCAGGAGGCCTCCTCTCTTTGTATATGTGGGCTCACTAAAACGCATCGCTCCTTGATTGTTGGTATGGGTTTTTCACCCGGCCCGGGAGGGCACGGTTTTCCTGTACACTAAATAGCTGAGGGTCCGGCACGCCCTAGGGCATAGCGGAGTATGAATAATAATGATATATTGTTAGCATTCCAAAATGACCGTGTTTTTAATCCTGCAAATCAGTTGACTTATATGTCCTCCCGTTTCTTTCATCACGCTGTTGACTGTTTTTATAAGTTCTGCTACTATCAGCACCACCACAAAATGATCTTTCAAAACTGTATTTGGCACCATGGAGATTGCTGGCCATTTGCCGTTCCTTGCTTACCAGCTTCGGTAGGGATATATCACGCATCCCAGACAGAGACTGCTGAGCCTGCAGTTGTCTTGGCTATTTCTCTGCCATTAATCTCTCCATCCACTCAGATGGCATTTACAAAGTTGCTAGAGCCAAGTGCCACGTCTTAATCTTCCTTAAAGAAGCCCCTCTTATTCGGGCCGACTGCCTGTTAGGCTGCCCTGATTAGCTTTCTCCCATAACACGGCAGCACTTCCCTTCTAACCCCAACACACATTTCATATCCTGGGACCCCACCTCTAGGGAGAGTCAGGATTGACATCCGTTGTTGTGGCTTGGGCACCTGCCCTTCTGGACGTCTTGCTATCGTTTAATGTTATCGATATGGGAGAATCCTCTGTATGTCAACATGTGGTAGTCTAGCCCATGTGATGGTGGGATCAGGGCCGGATGGCTTATTATCTTTGAGGGCTTGTGAGATGCAGTTGAGATACAGGGCCATTGCGAAGTTTGTCATGCAATATGAATGTAAAAGTAATGAGAGCCACTGTTCCTTCCCAAAACACCCAAGATCAAGACCCAACCCATCCTTGCTATGTACCATTCCCTATTACGCCGACGCTCTAATACCAACAAGACCTTAGGAATCCAACCAAGCCGAAGCATTAAGAGCTCCCATCATTCCCCAACACGACCCCCTCCCTACTATCACCCCTCTCTCAACCCCCCTTCTCTCAAAGCCCTCCCCCGCCGTCACCCCCCCCAACACTAGTCTTCTCATCCGGCACCCCCCTCGCAGCCTCCACATCCTCCCCACCACTCCCATCCCCATCCACCGACCCCCCCTTCCCCGCCCCCCAAGAAGAAGCATCCCCCTCCCGAGTCCCCCGGGGATCCTCCCCGGTGGCAGCAGCAGCCGACGACGCCGGCAGGCCCGCCCTCCGCAGCGACCACCAGGCCTTGCGGCCGCCGTCGCGAGTGGCCGAGCTGCCGCCGCCGCTGTTGTTGTGGTTGTTGTTGCTCTCGCTGTCGCTGCCGTTGGCGTTGGCGTTGGGCTGAGTCTGGATGTTGAAGGAGGAGAAGGAGAAGGAGGCGGCGACGCGCTGGTCGAGGTCCAGAGAGAAGAGGAAAAAGTTGGGGTAGAAGCGTTTGTAGAAGGCTTTGAGGCAGGGTAGGCAGGCGCAGATGAGGCCGATGTATTCTTCGACGAGGCTGTTTGGTTGGAGGGCGGCGTGTTAGTTGGTTCTTGTTGTAGGTACCTATGTTGTGCGCGGGTTGTGGGGGGTCGGGGTTCCTGGAAAGGTGCTGCCAAAGTGTGCCAGGGATGGGAGAGGTGGGGACCCAGAAGTGACGTTGGGGATAATGGTAAAGGACGGGAGGGGGAAAGTAAACATACCACCAAATCAGATTGACCGGGTAGTGCCAAGTGATATCCGGGTTGTTGGCGCCCGTCATACCAGTGATCATGCGCACCAAGCTAACACCGCACACGCTATATACCATGTTAGGCGTGAGGGGGGGCTTAAATGATACGGGGATCACCTACAAGCCTCCAGCCATGAGAATCAGCAAAACCCCAATCTTTTTCGTCAGCGGGGCGCGCATTGGACGAAGCATCCAGATGGGCAACAACAGAATCATAAAGTCCGTTATCATGTTCAAGGTGTTTCCCGCGTCGAAGATGGCTTGCTGATTGATGCATGTGCCGGGTATGCTCCAGTCCCAGTAGGACCCGATTGGGGTGCAGACGTAGAGAAACAGCAATATCTGGGGTACGCTGTAGCCGACCGAGATGAACATGACGATATATACGGCCATACGGAAGGCCCTGTCCACCGAGAAGCGAAGGAAGAAGCTCAAGATGGACAGCTTGATGAACATGGTGGTGAAGCTATACGTGAAAGCGCCGCCCAGCATCATAATCTGGCTTTGTGTGAGAACCGCGTAATTTGCAACCATGGAGCAGTGTTCTCACCTTCATTGTTTCGCCAAAGGTGACGTAGTCCACCTCCCAGATATGCTTGCCCATGCCCATTGTAGATTCTGCGGAGGATGGTCAGCTATCCGCGGCCGTCGAAAAGAACTTCTCGGCAGCTTGAACCTTACGTATGATGCAGAGGATGGCATTTGCTAAAGCAGACGCCTAATATGCAGTCGTCATGGTGAGTTGTTGACTCCGCCTAACTATGAGACGGACGGAACGTACGGCGGCAACGCAAATTAAGTCTGTGGCTCGGAGTTAGCAAACTTGATAATATTGTTCGCCCATGTATCGGTTGGGGCCTTACAGTCATCCATATACCACTTTCGAAGGATGAATGACGCCGTGTACAGCCGCGGGAGAAGGAAAAAGAAAGATAATACAGGGAACACCACAGATACAATGATCAGCTGATGGCTGCTTGACTCTGGGTGCTCAAAGTTTGGCGTCACGCCCGGCGGCGGAGGGGCCGCGGGTATGAAGCCTCCGTCAGCAGAGCTCATATCGGCAGCGACGAAGGAAACGACGAATTGGGGGGCCCGTCGTGGCGGTCGTCATTGGTTTTGTCCAGTGTCAACCGCAAGTAACAGTCGTCGACCGGTGGAGAGAGCAGATCGCGTGGGAACGGGCGGGAGCTTGGGGTAGTTGAGGTCCCTGCCGGCCCGGGCTGGGCATCCTGAAGCGGAACAGCGCATCGAGCTCAGAACGGTTCTGAGTTTATTGACTCCCCACTCCATCACGACCCCGGCATTGGCAGATTGGCTAGCGGGACGGCCGATGTGCATCCCCTGGTCTGCAAAGGCCCCAACAACGCTTGGCAGAAGCGGGATGGAACCATTGGCGTGGAGAAGGAGCGTGGGAGCATGGGAGCGAGCAGCACCACTTTCTCCTGGACCCCTGCCCTTAACATGCGCCTTGGCCTAGTGCGCAGCAATCAAGTTGACAGTCAAACAGAGGGAGACGGAATTAAAGGGGGTAACTAGTTATTTTGTTCTAGGAAGAAAGCATTCCCACGTATTGTGTTTCCTCCATGGGGTTCGTCTTTTTCAAGACTAAGAAAGAAGAAATCTTCGGGAAGTCTTCCACTCGAAGCTTGTGAGCGACAAGGGGGAAAACCAGGGGGTCATGTACCCGTGGCGTGACTCGGGATGTGGGATTCCAATTTGTCAAGCTTCAAGCTCACAGGGTTTAAAGGGGGTACGTGCCATCTCCGGGCGTGGTGTGTTGAGCATGACTTTGCATGAGAAGCAAGGACCAGACTGGTCGGAGCCAGGTCCGCTTCGGCACTTTGTTCTGGAAGCCTTGACAAAAGAGGGTGGTTTCGGGCCGAGCAAGCCACCACACTTCTGTGTGCCTCGTGGAGAGGCTGAGACCCGATGAAATAAAAGGCTCGGTTTAGGAGTGACCGGTGAGCGACCGGTGAGTCCGCGAAAAGGGGTGGTCCGAGTCTGAAATCCGGAACATGGTTCCCACGAGGTCAGAGTCCCCAGGACTGGGGTTCCAGCCCGTCCTGAATGAAACTTGCCAATTGGTGGGCGAGCATGCAGGTCGCCCAATGTGTGTTCTTGCATGGCGCAGATTCCGCCCATTTGACCCCCATGATGGACGGTATTTCTCCGACACAGAACTGTGCGAATGCAAGCTTTCGAAGAGGGCTGTTTTTGGCTATTCTTGGAACGCGATAAGGCTTTATCTCAAAATTTGGGCTTGCCATGCACTGAAAACGGCTTGGTTGTAGGTGGCCCTCGCCCAAAAAGGTGACTTGCCTGGTTCCGTCTGGGCCTTCTAAGCTGCCGCGCTCGCTGTGTGGGGAAATTGCTTCGCGAAATTAATTTGACGTCGCGTGTATTCGTTCGTAACTCGCTTGGTGTCGTTCTTACATAGGCATCGACGACGGCAGGCTGGACTTGACGTCGAATTTCAGGTGCCGGGAATGAATGGAGAGGGAGCCTGGTGGTGCAGCCCACGAGCGCTGCCGAAAGCTTCCCACATGGGAGGTGGTGCTCTTGTGGTCTTTTCGGCTCTGATCTGGCTCGGAACACAGCATTGGACAACTCGAACCATGGCCTGCCTGCCTGACTGCCATCTGACGGGGTATCCGAAAACATCAGGGCAAGGTTCCCATGTCGGCGACTGGATTGTTTTGTGTATTACACTGCGCATCTCAACGGCAGAGGCAGATGGAGACATTCACTACAGCGCTGCCACACCATATTTCCACACAACAAGTGTTCTGAATTGGTGCTATGGCGCTATGAAGCCCACTGGGCTGAAGGAAACCCTTATTTGGTTTCCATGGGCGCCGGGTCTGTCGTGTGGTCCAATCATGACCTCGTTAATGCTCGATCGTTAAAACCCCGCCCAAAGCCAAATGCCGCCAACTCAGAACGCCAAAGCAAGAAAGCGGAAGACCATCTAGGCGGTCTTGGGGTTCTGGGTAGGAACCACCTTCTTGCCATCCTTGTTGTAGCGGACGCGCGGGGGAGGAGCACGGTTGCGACGGCCTTCGGTGGAGCGGACACTGCAAGATCTCCGTCAGCGGGGTATGTTCTGGGCTGGGGTATCGGGACAACTAATGGCGGAGGTTCGACCAAGGTTCTTCTCAACCGCCCGCGTCGCCGAAATGGCAGACGCGGTTGTCCCCGCCACGAGGACAAACGTACCGGACAATCTTGCCGTGGATCGCGCAAGACACACAGTACTGCAGTTTAAGGTACATCTTGGGAACAGTGTACTCTGCAAAGACAGAGGCGTCCGAAATATCACCTGATCGCAATGTGTTAGCGGAAGTGAACCATGGCTGATTGGGCGGAGCTGGGGGGTTTTCGTCGTCGGTGCTGTTTCGAAGGTACGTACGGATCGCCGCTGACTCAACCATGTTGCGGATGGTGAACCTCTTGATGGCCTTGTCCTTGGGGGTGCATCGCGAGCAGTTGGAGCACCGGATGGGCTTGACGTGGCCGCGGCCTGCGAAATAATGAAGTCAGTTCATCTGAGAGTCAAGTAATGAAGGACAGCCAATTCTCACCCTTCTTGTTGCGGCCGTTGTTCTTTCTCTTCTTGACCATTTTGACGGTGTCCTGAGTGTGCTGATTCTCAAGAGGTTGTGTGGAAGAAAGGCAAGTGTTCAGAAATTCGGCCGGTGCTGGAAAACCCTTGTGCTGGACCCACTGGTGCTTGGGAGTGGGGAGCGCTCAGGTTCGGGTTGCAGTGCGGCCCAGGGCAAGTTTCCCAGCGAGCCCTAAGAGCAGGCACAGAGTCAGCTGACCCACACCATTCGAAGTGGGCCCCTCCAAAAGTTCAACTCCGCCAACGCCGTCCCTCAAAATCCTGCCGTCTTTTTCCCAAGCGCAACTTCACAACATCTGCAGCCTGCTGAGGAAGACATCGTGTCTAGGTACGTCTGTATGATGTTGCGAGCCGGCGCTTGTTCCCCCGTCTTCTACGACGCATCATGATACACAATCTTGTTTTCGCTGCTCGTGCGGCGTCCGATTTTGAGATTTGCGCGCGCCCGACTTAATATGTCGGCGAGCGCAGGTTTCGGTCGGCTTCACCCCAGCCCCCAACTCGCGCCGGCTCAGCTTCAAGAGGCGAATCTCTCCCTTGTGTCTAACACTTCCTCACCACTTCTCAGTAGGCAACCATGCAGATCTTCGTGAAGACCCTCACGGGCAAGACTATCACCCTTGAGGTGGAGTCGAGCGACACAATCGACAATGTCAAGTCCAAGATCCAGGACAAGGAGGGCATCCCCCCCGACCAGCAGCGCCTGATCTTTGCGGGCAAGCAGCTCGAGGATGGCCGCACCCTCTCTGACTACAACATCCAGAAGGAGAGCACCCTCCACCTTGTGCTCCGCCTGCGTGGTGGTGGCAAGAAGAGGAAGAAGAAGGTCTACACCACCCCCAAGAAGATCAAGCACAAGCGCAAGAAGACCAAGCTCGCTGTGCTCAAGTACTACAAGGTCGACAGCGATGGCAAGATTGAGCGTCTTCGCCGCGAGTGCCCCAACGAGAGCGTGAGTCCACCCCTTTCCCGACCGACACGTCGGTCCATGCTGACTTGTTAGTGCGGTGCCGGTGTCTTCATGGCTGCCATGCAGGACCGCCAGTACTGCGGCCGCTGCCACCTTACCTACGTCTTCGAGAAGAGCGGTTAAAACACTGGCTTGAAGGAGACAGGACAACTCGGGGCGGGAACGGAATTGCAAGGAGTCAGGAACGGGCAACGATCTTTCATGAAATCGGCGTTTATGTACCTTAGGAGTCGGGCATATGCGGGCTCGTACCGGCAAGGAAAATGCAATTTGGGGGCGCGATGACAGACCGGACCACTGGTGTCATCGTCTCAGGCTGTGTAACTGGGTCATGCAGGCAGCTACCTAGCTTATCCAGTCAAGTTCCCGTCCCATTCTAATTATTGGGGAAGCCTTCCCTTAGGTTGTCGTACTTGGTGTGAGGGTATGTGATACAGTTCTCGCGCCACTGGAGCGAATTGGGACCGCCGAGCACGTCGACCACATTCCCAATCAGACTCTCCGGGCCCTCCTTATCAGCACTGCTCTCCCACCACATCCCCACCGCCCAACACCACGGTGCCTGATGTAATCGAGCCTTTGCCCGCGCCAGTCTGCCACGTTATACATAACTCACCTAATACCCTGCGGTCCCGGTGGTAGCAGGTAGCTCGCTGCCGGCATCATAATCCGCCAGCATCCTCGGACCCGTCCAGCGGCAGATCTTGTAGTCGTGCACGCCGTTCTCCCCAGGGTCCCCTCGCCGTCGCCCATGAATGGGCGGGCCCAGGCCGTCGGTGTCCTGGAAGGCGCGGCCGTACAACGGCAGGCCCAGGACGATCTAGTCTGGCCCGACGCCGCCGGCCTACGTACGCCTGCACGGCGGTCTCGGTCGAGAAGGGGGTGCGCGCGGCGTCGTGCCCGCACGGGTACAGGTTCGCCTGGTGGCCCGCCACGCTGTCCCACGACCCGGCGTAGTCGTACGCCATCAGGTTCCAGAAGTCCAGGTACCGGTCCATCCCCGCGATGTCCAGGTTGTTGTAGTTGTGCGCCCCCGCCGGGCAGGCCACCGTCAGTTCGAAGTGGGGCGGGCTGGAGGCGTCGACGGTTCGCGCGTGCTGGTCGAGTGCGTGGCGTACTTCGGCGAGGAGGGAGACGAAGTCGGCCGCTTCTGACGCCGATTGCGGGTATTCCCAGTCGATGTCGAGACCGTCGAAGCCGAGGCGGGAGAGCTGTGGACACGGGAGTTAGTTATGACAGGTGATGTGAGTTGAGAATTGGGGGTGGGGAGGCTTACGATCTCAACGGCAGACGTCGCAAACGTTTGTCTGCCCTGCGGTGTCGAAGCGGGCTGCCTGAAGTTGCTGCTGTAGGTCCAGCCGCCGATGGACAGCAGGAACCTTGAGGTTGCGGATTGCGGCGCTTGAGCAAGTTGAGCTGCTTCATGCAGCCGTACAGGTTGGTGCCCGTGTCATTCCAGCTGTCGCCCTCCCAATGGATGTCGGTGTCGGCCCACGAGTCCGTCATGTACACCTCGCCGGATTCGGGCCGCACGTTGGCGAAGGCGTATAGCACGTGCGTCAGGTTCTCGACGGGCAGGTCCTGCGGCCGGTGTTTGCGGGCGTAGATGGCCCAGTTTACGAAATAGGCTACCGAACGGTAGCCGCCGATGGGTCCGCCGCCCATTGTTGGTGATGGTGTTGATGGGGTCGTCCAGGAGCTGGGAAGGGAGCTTCTCGGGCCAATGAGGATGGCAATAAAAACGACAGATATGGTAAAAACTATGAAGAAGAGGCAAGAATGTCTGATGTATTGGGGCATACGGCAACTTATATGTCACTCTTGACCTCTCTTGTTGTTTGCTTTCTTCGGTGCGAGCTGTCTAAGAGGGCGCCGATTGGGAGCTTGGCAGCGAGGGGGAGGGGCAGGCCACGCCAGTGGGTCCACCTTCACTGAACTCCGCCACCACAGGGACCTGGCCACCGCTGTTTAACTGGACTTCGGAGGGGCGAGCTGCAACCGGCATCTGGTGAAGGAATCACCGGCAACATGCCACTTTGATTTCGTCTTCTACAGCAGCTCAGCCATTAATTTCTTACTTGAAGCGGTCCAGCTAACTCGTGCCAGCGTCAGGTTGAGCTTGGGCAGTCATGGGTGCTTGGCAAACCGCGCCGAGATACTTCGTGCTAACCGCATTGACGTGCCCAGGGGCAGTGCAGCTCTTGTTGCCACGACAGGAGCTCACAGTCGTGTTAAAGGAGACGATGGCGCATTTTCCGTCCCTTTACCCCCCCTTGTTCGCGGAGTCAGCAAGCATGACTAAAACTGGATTTGTTGATGCGTGACAGAGGTGTTGAACTCGCCCGCTTGGTGTTACAGGTGTAACGGGCTGAGCCCTGCAGAGGCCTCGGTGACCCTCGGCTAACCCTAACCCCCGGTAGAAACCCCTGAACATCGCCAGGTCAACGACCACATCAACGACCCCATCGACAGTCCTATCAACAACCCCATTACGCTTACCCCTTTTTCCGAATGCGGATTGCTTTCTTAGCCATAATTCATGAATTCGTGAAATGGAACTACTTTAGTTGGAGCATATCCCGGGCTGAGTTACCAACGATGATAGGGCGCTGCCTATACAACATCTTCGGCCTGCACAGACAATTCATAGTGTGTCGGTGAGGTGGTGATGCTACCCCTTTTCTCAACGACGTAGACACCTTTAGAAGGACTGTTTTTTTGTCTAAACCCCCAATTCTAAATAGGTATACGAGACTGTTACTCATAGTCACACTGAGTCTTTCGCCTCAAATACCTCGGGGTGTTCCTTCATCCACTCAGCAACTTCCTTACATGGCGCAACCCATATTTCCCCATCCTCGCTGATCCTCTTCAAGACATCCTGCATTACTTCAAACTTCTCTTCGCTTGTCTGAAGAGACGGGTGGAACAGTATGGACATGAAACCGCCTGTCTTGACAGTATCATCAATCTTGTCCATCAAGCACTGCTTAAGTTCCTCGGGACTCAGCACTTCCTCCCGCTCCCCATACTCCTTCCGAATCCCACCAAACTTCTCCATATAACAAAAAGCATCCACCGCCTTCCATTCAAAAGGCAACACCACCACCCCCTCCCTCCCCATCCCAAACTCCCCCAACGGCGAGACATACTCCACCCCATACTCCCTCAACAACCCCCAACTCCATTCATTAACCACCCCGCCAGGCGGCCTAAACCCCACATACCGCACCCCCGACTCCCCCGCCGCCCCGGCAACTCCTCTCAAAACTCTCCCTCTCCCGCGCCTCATCCAGCCCACGCCACACCTCATGCTGAAATCCGTGCCACGCGACCCTCATGCCCCGCGCGGGGCCAGCGCCTGCACGGCGGCCGGGTACACGAGCCAGGCTCCAGGCCTCGGCGAAGTAGGTGGCGCGCACGCCGTGCCGGTCGAGCAGGGCCAGCATGCGCGGCAGCTGGTCGGTCACGGCGGGGTGGGTGCCGATCGGGTGCGGCCACGCGCCCTTGAGCACGTCCTGCGCTTCACCGAGGTTGTCCATCGTGAAGGAGATGGCGGCGCTGTAGGGGGCGGGCCAGCGGGGTGGTGGTGGTGGTGGTGGTGGCTTGGGGTTCATGGTGGGTTGTGGAGGGGGTGGGGGGTTGTGGTTTGGGGTTGAGTGGGGTTCACCGTTCGGGGTGGATGGGATTTGGGAATGGGGAACCCGGACCGTTGGTGATTGATGGGGAATTTTGGTTTGGTGGGGATTTTGGGATTAAATATCCGCGAAACGGTTGATGTCCTACGTCCTAAGTGGTAGGTACGGTACTTCGGTGGGAAGGTCCTTCCATGTTCGTACCAAATATGGCTCGTCAGTTGCGAACACCCAATGTTGCCGCGTTGCGTGGGGAGGCTAAGAACTTACCAGCCATCTGGGTCTTTGCCTGAAAGGGTTCATCCAAGGTTTGGAGGAGCATCATGCTGGCCCATGGATTCCGGGTTACGCGTATCCTTTGTATCCCATTCTCCGGGCGCGCGAGTTCCCGCTACTTTCACGCATTCCGCCACGGGCCCCACAAATAGGAACGAGCCTCTCCCCTACGTCCCTTTCAGAGGTTCTTGCTATCTCGCGAGACGCGAATGTTTATGAGAGGCAATACTCGGAAGAGACAACGAGACGAGACAGATGGAGCCTGTTAGTGTGATTGGCGGCCTGCTGCCAAGACGCGGGTTGCGCACAAAAGCTGCCGCCCCCTCCTCTGTTTCCAGGAGAGCCGGCATCCCAGGTTGCCATGCCGAAGAACCCGACTCAGGAATAATCAGGTAAAGGGCGCCATGGCGGACCCCCTAAGTACCATTGCAAACGTATTAGCGGTCCTGAAACTTACGGCGGTCGCGACCCAGTACATCAAAGAAGTCAAGCAAGCATCGTCAGATCGCCTTCGCCTCCGAGATGAACTCCGCAGTGCCACCTGCCTCTTGGAAATGCTCAGAGACAGGTTGGAAGATTCAGAAGATGCCGAAGGCAGTGATGCAGAGACTTTGAAGCCGCTCTCAATCGCCTCGCTTGAAGGAGGAGATGGCCCGCTCGAGCTGTTTAAACGGGTGTTAGAAGAGATCATCAACAAACTCGCACCCCAAAACCGCCTCAGCCGGGCTGCCCAGTCTTTGACATGGCCATTCAATAAAAAGGAAGTTACCGAACTCATATCCACGCTGGAACGACTCAAAAGTCATTTCACTTTAGTCATGCAGAACGACCTCGTGTAAGAGCACAGCACCAACCAGCTCAGTCATTTTACTTCATACGATGCTGACACCGTTTCAGCGAACTCACGAAACTCTCCCATCTCAAACTTGACAGTATACAAACGCAGGTGGAAAACACCAGATCAAGGTCCCGAGACGAAGAGAGCCAGAGGATTATTCTTTGGGTCAGCACGCTGCCCTACCGCCCTCGACATGTCGACGTCCTCGAAACCGCACAGCCCGGGACCGGGACTTGGTTTCTCAACCATCCCACCTTCAAAAGATGGGTCAATGGGACTTCTGCCGCCACACTTTGGTGCCCGGGGATTCGTGGGTAGACCCGAGGGGTTGATCAAAGCTACTCGCGCATGCTGATAATGTTCTCCTCTTCTATGTAGCTGGCGCTGGCAAGACGATATTAGCGTGAGTACCTACCTACTTACCTCCATCGCTAACCCAAGTTTGCCCGCCCTCAAACACGCTAACCGTAAAATTTCAGGTCACTAATAATCGACAACCTAGAGCGAGAGCACAGTTCATCCGATACCCTCTGCACCTATGTGTATTGCAACTACGCCAAGAGGCAAGACCAAACTGCTGTGGCGCTGCTGTCGAGCCTATTACAGCAAGTCCTCCAGCACTCTACTGCTGGGACTTTGCCGGCAGCGGTGGAATCACTCTACCGACTACACAAGAAGCACGGCACGCGGCCGACCCTTGCTCAGGTTACTGACACCTTGCGGGCTTTGACTGCCAAATTCTCCGTCTTCCGCGTCGTTGTGGACGCACTAGACGAATGTGCCGAGTCAGACAACGACGCTCTCCGTTTCATATCTGCCGTTCGGTCCTTGGGTTCATCTGTCAAGGTTCTTTGCACCTCCCGGTTTTCAACTACGTTTGAAAGGTATTTTGATGGCGCTGAGAAGCTCGAGATATCCGCACATAGTGAAGATATCCGGATCTACTTAGACTCGCAAATACAACAACAAGCGGGACTTTCAAGGCATGTCCGAGCTGACCCGAGCTTGAAAGAGGAAATAATCGATGCTATAGTCGAGGAGTTTCACGGAATGTACGCACACCTTGTCCGATTCGTTTCCCGCAAAATGCCCACTGCTCCCTAACTACCTACCTATATGACTGGCAGGTTTCTCTTAGCAAAACTTCATCTCGAATCCCTCTCCACGAAAATCAACCGTAAAGCCATCCGCGTTGCCCTCAAAACATTGCCGACAACCCTCGACGCCACCTATTCCGAAGCCGTTGAACGAATCTCCAATCAAGCTCCAGACCTTGTCGAGGTCGCCGAATCCGTCTTATTTTGGGTTATCTGTGTCAAGCGGCCCCTGTCGGTGCTCGAGTTGCGACATGCGTATGCTACTAGGGAACTTCCTGAGAATACGCCTCTTGAAGACGACGACTTGCCTGACGGAGAGATACTGACGAGTACCTGCGGCGGCCTCATCAAGGTGGACGGGGAATCCCAGACTGTGCGAGTGGTCCACTACACGACCCAAGAATATTTCGAAAGATCCCACGCTCAAAACCTTTTTATGGCGAAGCGAGACTTAGCCAGCATCAGCCTCGCCTATCTTACACTACCAAACTTTTCCGACGGCCCCTGCTTGACGGATAAGACAATGGCTCGGCGGCTGGAACAGTACCCGTTTTTGGACTATGCTTCAAACCACTGGGGCGAGGGCATTGGTAAACTGTCTGACAGCGACGTTGAAAGGATTTGGCATAAGATGAATCAGTTTCTCTCAAACAAGGGTTCGCTGGAAGTCGCCTGCCAAGTTCAATACCTACCACGCATCCGCTATTCGTACTGGAGCCAAGAGTATCCGAGAAACGTCCCGCCCCTTGTTGTTGCCGCAAGTTTCGACATGCCGCAAATTCTCCAAAAGCTCATCACTGGTGGCGGTCTCGACGTTGAGTCCTGTGGAACGGACCGGGTGACAGCCCTCAATCGTGCCGCTGCCTGTGGCCATGCCGACAACATTAGAACCCTGGTTGGACAAGGGGCTGACCTAGAGGCTCGCGACTACATGGAAGAGACCGCCTTGCAGAAAGCTGCCGGGAAAGGAGCCGTAGATGCTCTCCGAACTTTGATAGATGCGGGCGCAGATGTCAACGCCCGATCGCCCGACTGGACATCGCTCATGCACGCTGTTTCCTCGGCGAATCTTGAGGCTGTCGAGATGCTAGTCCTCGCAGGAGCGGACTCTGCGGTCGAGACACCGTGGGGCGAAACCGCGTTAACGCTTGCATTGACCAACGGCCAGAAAGCCATCGCGAAGTTCCTTGCGGACCAGGGGATTCCCCTTCCACGAAATCCCGCTGGACGCCGTGCCTCCCGAACCGCCTCCCGCAAAGGAATGTTCGACCTTATACAACGACTCACAGCCGATTATGGAACAGTTGCCGCTGAACCACTGCAGCGCCAATCAACCAGAGTAGCCACAGCCTTGACAAAGATTCAGGAGGAAGAAGAGCCCCCAGACACAATCGCAACACGCGTCCCTATCCCTATCCCTGAGCAACCCGGGTTCCGGAGAGCCGATGAGGAATTTGAAGACTACTTCTTGCGTTCATTAGAAGGACTATCATACAGTGTTGGTTTCACGACCATGTACGAAATGGGGGATTTGCTTGGAAGTGGCCACTTTGCAGATGTTCACTTTTGTACCAACCGAGTGACTGGAGTGAGGGCCGCTGTCAAAGTCTACAATGTCACCAAGCGACCGGAGCCCTTGGTGATCGGATCTATGCGCAACGAGGTTGCGATTCTTTCGGAGCTGCGAGAGAATTCTCATCCGGCGATTCTCCAAATCATGCATCCTTTTGCTGACCACAATACTGGGAGAGTACTCATTGTCACAGAGCTGGCCCCTGGGGGGGAACTATTCCACCTAATCATACGACGAGGAAAGTTGTCGGAACAACAAACCCGCAGAATCTTTGTGCAGCTCTTGTCGGCGGTGGAGTTTTTAGTAAGTCCCACACTTCTTCTGCATTGCCCCGGGATGCCCTAGCAATGCAGTAACTTACCTGTGCATAGCATAACCACGGCTTGATACACAGGGATATCAAACCGGAAAACATACTTCTATCTGACGAAGAGAGCTTGTCGATAAAGCTCGCCGATTTCGGTATTTCCAAGCGCGTTCCTGACGATTCAGGTCCCTGGCATTACAACGCAACGCTGTGCGGAACACCAAGTTGTACGTCTAGGCCTAGCATTCTTTTCCTCTTTGCGGGCCAATCTCCATATTATACTAATCGTGATGTTAGACGTGGCTCCAGAGATACTTGCCAAACCCTCTTCCCGTCGGAGGTCTGGGACCCCAACGGATATCTGGTCCTGCGGTGTCGTGCTGTACGTCTGTCTCTGTGGGTTTCCGCCGTTCTCGGACGAACTCAGGACCCCGAAATTTCCCTACGACCTCGCCGACCAGATTAGGGGGGCAATGTTTGATTATCCCTCCCCTTACTGGGACTCCGTCGGTGATCCAGCCTTGGACTTGATCGACAACATGATCATCGTGGACATGGAGAAGCGATATTCCGCCCGACAGTGTTTGGAACACCCGTGGATGGCAAACGATGCACCGACAATACTGGAAGGGGAAGAGGGTGTAAGGTCGGCCAGCCCTGAGCTACTGACCTAATAATTGGAGAGGGCTTCATCAGGCACACTCTTGGACTACTTCACGTACCTATCCGGTGCCATCCGTGATGTTGAGCCGGTTATGAGGAAGTCAACTACTTATCGGTGATCAATGGATCCAGGACCGGTTATCAAGCTGTAGTAGTTGAAAGGGTACGAGTCACATTAGAAATTACTGGGATGGAGTAGGTGCACAGGTCCAGGCTAATATTACAAACCCTTTGACTATGCGCCTTACTACTTGTTCTTTACCAGGTGATGTTCTGTTTCAGCCCCTATCCCCTGAATGGACAAAATGATGGCCCCTGGAAATGTCACCTCCAGCTGCACTCGCAAACTACCCATCCTACGCTTCACACCAGGGGGATGTTCCACGGACAAAGGTTGTAACAATAGATTTTTAGCAAATGGAACAAACGTTGAAGGAACCCAGGATAATGAGGTGTTGGAATCCGAGTCCTCGATATTTGAGTATATAACTGATAGTTACCATGTATTGGGTTAATATCAGATCATTACGACTTTATCGATCTACCACCCGCCACAAGGCTTACAAAGAAGCAGTACGGGAAAGAAACCACGTTGACAAATTGGCCGACCAGTCCGCCCACGCTTCTTCGACTGGGCAGGGAGCCCGGAAGGAGAACTCTTCCATATCATTCCAATCTGGATTCTCTCCTCGTCCGGCTAAGACTTTTGATGAGATGGGCGTTCCATTTCACGAGGATGTGCCTGAGCCTTCGGGGACCAAGACCAAGGGGCTGGCTTCCACCTTGCGAAACATTTTGAACTTGAGAATAAGTGTAGAGAAGGCGAATGCAAAGTTTTTAAAAACGAGGGAAAACAGCAAGAGAACTTGGCCGAAGGTTCAAGGCGCAGGTAACCCCCAACACTCAAATCCCGGCTTTAAAACTTCATCTTCCGTGGCTACCAGCAACAGAAGCAAGGCCACTCCCATCCCGATCGATGGCTTTCCATTAACAACAACCAAAGAGGACAGTAAAGGAAAGCCAGTGGCGTTCAATAATTCCGTGGTAGCAATCTAAACTAACCTGAAAAAAAGTCACATCATTTTTATCTTGTTTTTTGCTATTCTATGGAATTGTGCCGTGTCTAAATCAGCCGTGAGACCAAGTGATCCGTAAGACCAAATAACCTGAGACCCAGGCAAGTCAGGGGTCTTATATGTACTGCGTACATACAATGCCCCACACCCGGTGCGTCGTCCTCTCCGTCTGGCCTGGATCGCAGGAAGTGCCCGGGCTTGGGCGGGTTGGGACCCCTCCGCAAGCTCGACAATTGCCGGGTTGGAGAGGACGAGTGCATCACCTCTATAGCGACCCATGCCACCGAGGATTGTATGGAGGTATGGTCCCTAAGTACTTAGGTACGGTACCTAGGCAAGTATTCCGTAGTTGTTGAGTGTAGGGAGGGTTGCGATAAACTTGCGAAAAATCGGGCGTGAGAATTGCGCGCCATTCACTGGGTGGCTCGGGTGGCTCGGTACCAATCGAGGATCAGGGACGCAGCCCCAAACCCAAGCAAGCACAGCCACCCCCGCCAGTGAGAAATTAGCCTTGCCAAAAGGATGGGCAGCCGAATTGGGGACACAATCTGACAGTGCACGCACCAAGGAGGCCTCTACTTCCCACGACAAACAGTAATCCGCGAAACATAAAATCAACAACAGCTGTGGAAGATTTGTCCACCCTTATCATTGCAATACGTGCATTTTATGATTCAGATCATCAATTCCCGAACTTTTGCATTGCATACCAAGCAACCGCATCATGTCGCAGCCGCCTTATTATGGTCAACCGCCGCCGCAAGGCTACGGTGCCCCGCCTCCGGGTGGGCCCCCGAACACCGGCGCGCCGTATCAACAATACCCACCTCCGGGACCTCCCCCGGGCCAAGCACCGGGCCAAGCGCCGGGTCAGGCGCCATACCAGCAGCACCAGCCATACTATGGCTATCAACCTGCGCCCGTAAGCCCGCAACCCGGCGGCCAATACCAGCCTCCCCCGCCCGGCGGCCAGCCAGGTCAATACCAAAACCAGCAATACCCCCCGAACGCGCAATATGGTCAACAACCGCCGCCTCAAAACGTTCCGTATGGTCAGCCTCCTCCCCAAGGCGCTCCATACGGCCAACCTCCTCCGCAGGGCGCTCCGTACGGCCAACAGCCTCCTCAGCACGCGCCGTATGGGCAGCCTCTGCCTTCGAACGCGTCATACGGCCAGCAGCCTCCTCCCTCCGGCCAGTACGGTCCGCAGCCTCCATACGGCCAACAGCAAACGGGCTACGCCCCACCGCCTCCCCAAGGTTACCCTGTAAGTATTTGGTCGTGCTTTTCTTGACCCTTTTGTCGCCAGTCAGACTGACAACCACAAAGCCTCAGGGACAACAGCAGTGGCAGGCTCCTCCTCCGCAACACCCTCCGCATGGCACCTCCGGATATGGGGCCCCGGGGTATAGCGCCCCGCCGGTTCAACCCACGCCTGCATCCCAAGGCTATGACGTGGGCCAGAAAGCCTATGCCCAACCCGTCCACACCGCTGTCGACGTCGAGGACCTACGCCGCGCCATGAAGGGCATGGGCTGCGACGAGAAGGCCCTGATCCGAGTTTTCACTAAGCCAGCGTACGCCAACCCTTGGGCACTGCAGCAGCTGGTGCGGGACTACAACAGTCGCTTCCTCCGCAACCTGATCGAAGACATCAAGAGCGAAACCCGCAGCGACCTCGAGACGGCGCTGCTGGCTCTCTTGCGCGGTCCCCTTGGGCACGACGTCTACCTGCTCGACAAGTCGCTCAACCGCCTGGGCACGGACGAGGACACGCTCATGGACGTGCTGCTGAACCGAAGCAACGCCGACATACGCGCCATCGCGGCCGAATACAAGCGCACAACGCACCGCGAGCTGCTCACAGACATCAAGGAGGACGTGGACGACGCGCTGTTCCGGCTGTGCAGCATGTTGGTGGCGGGGACGCGGGCCGAGGACGCGGCGCCGGTGCTGCCGCACGAGGTCGACGCCAAGGTCACGGAGCTGCAGCGCGCGACCGAGGGCATGATCGGGGCCAACGCCGTGTCGGTGGCCCAGATCTTTGCCAGCAGCAGCAACGCCCAGATCGCCGCCCTCGCCGACGCCTACCAGCGCAAGTACCACCGATCCCTGGAGGAGGTCATTGAGAAGGAGTTCCGCGGCGACATGGAGGACGCCCTGCTGCGCATGCTGATGGCCGGTCAGAACCGCGCCTCGTCCGATGCTATGCGGCTGCGCGAGTCGCTGACCAAGAGTAAGGACAAGCTGTTCATCAATCGCATGGTCAGCCTGTACTGGGACCAGCCACGGCAGGCGGCGGCGAAGGAGGCGTATCGGAGGAAGTACGGGACGTCACTGGCGAGGGATGTGCGGGATTTGCTGAAGGGTGATTTGGAGGATATGATGCTGGCACTGCTACGGGAGAAATAGAGGGTCGGTAGTCGATATTTATGATAATTATCACGGCATTGCGGTGAATCAAGGGCGTCGAGGCGTCCTGTTCACTGAATGGGAAGGAACTCTTCGTCAACAATGGGCCTTGACCGTTGTTAATTCTTGGGTGCCCAGGCTTGCGTTTGACGCCGATGCCGACCCCACTTTCACCCCGACTGAGACGCTCAAAACTCAATTCGTCATCACTCAATTCTTCACTCGTCACCATAACCCATCAATCCGCCTCGGACTCAACCCTCAACCCCAAAATGGAAGAACTCACCCTCCTCATCCTCGGCGCAGGCTGGACAGCCACCTTCCTCATTCCCCTCCTCGAATCCCGCAACATCTCCTTCGCCGCGACCACCACAACAGGCCACCCCGTCGCCGGCGCCCCCACCCTCACCTTCAAATTCGACCCCTCCGCTCCCGAGGACCAAACCCGCGCCGCCATCGCCGCCCTGCCCCGCGCCCGCCACGTCCTCATCACCTTCCCCCTGAAGGGCACCGGCCCCAGCAAACTCCTCCTCGAGACCTACGCCAACACCCACCGCAGCGCCGCCGCCGCCGAACCCAACTCATCATCCCCATCCCCATCCCCATCTCCATCCCCATCTCCATCCACCCCACGCTTCATCCAACTCGGGCAGCGCGGGCATCTGGCAGCCCGACTCGCCCTACCAACTCCAACACCCCCAATCCCCCACCCCCCAACAACACCCCCCAGCAACCGCAACCCCCCCCTGGAAAACCCGGGCACTCCCCCTACGCCGCCGACGACCCGCGCGCCATCGCCGAGGACGAGCTGCGCGCGCTCCGGCGGGTGTGTGTTGGTGTCTGGCCGGGCTGTGGGGGCGGCTCGCGCACCGGTGCGGGGGTGGGCGGGCCGTGTCGCCGGCGACGAAGGAAGGCGGTGAGGGGGAAAGAAGGAGTCTGCATTTGGTGCATGGGGTGGGATGGTGGCCCAGGGTGGTGGTGAAGGGTGGTGGAGGGGGGTGGCGTTGCTTGGTGATTCTGGGGGGGGGTGGTCGGTGGTGGGTGATGGGGTGAAGGGGTGGATTTTGGGAGAGGGTAGGCAGGGGGGCATGCGCTGGTTGGTGACGGATGGGGTTTGTGTATGACTGGTGGGCGCTGTTGGCGGGGTGGGCGGAGAGGGAGGATGGGGGGGTCATGGAGCAGGCGCGGTGGGTGTTTGAGTTGATGCGGGAGGAGGGGGTGAGGGCGTTGCCGAGGTCGATGGAGGCGTTGGGGAGGTGTTATGATACGCGGGAGTTCTGGGAGGCGTTCGGGCTGGTGCCGTTGAAGGGGAGGATTGTGTGATGATACTTGTGTTTGTTTGTGTGAGGGATCTGTTAAGGGAGAAATATTCAGCATCATTCTGGAGTTTTGCTACACTGCTACATTGAACTTAAAAAAAAAAGAAATATGGACGCGGCCGCTGCATCCGGAACGAAAGGGCTGTCGGATGTTCACAACGCCTCTGTGTCATCCAGTCAGGTCTCCAGCAGCATCGTCGAGGAAAAAGAAGCTCTGAACGAGATAAAAGATTGCGTCAGCCGCGAATCGAACGCGGGGCCCATCGATGGCAACGATGGATTTTACCACTAAACCACTGACGCTGGTTCCTGATTGGATGCCTTTTCAGGTCCGTTTTCGTATTGAACAGCAGTGATCGTGCCCGTTCGCGCGGGCACGCCAAAGGAGCCTGGAGGAACTTGCCGGCTGCAGGTAGGCCCCATAGCGGAGTCAACGATGTAATTGTCTTTTTTTTTTTTTTTTTTTTTCATTTCATGATGGTTATTGACGAATGCTGGGAAAGTAAGGAAAGGTGGTTTCTGTTGGAAATCCAACAGCCAGAGTAGCGATACTTCTGAACAGGGCGCGCAACGTAGTGCAAGCAAGGTCACTGATACGAGGCTTCAATCCGTGATGCAATTGTCTGACAGTCTGATTGATGTAACTGGAAGAAAGGAGATCCTCTGTGCCCTGAGAAACGCTGCATTGGGCCCAGTCTGGTGGGCCCAATAAGCCCCTGTCATTGACCCGCCGTACCGTATCTTCAGCCACCCGTTTTGTGCAACACCTCGCAGGGGGACGTGACGGAGGGCAGGGGGGGGATCCACCGCTGGGGCAGTCGTCACGTGGTCCTGGACCTCGGGGACGACAACCCCGGCTGCAAAATCTGAGCCCCCCTCATTTCTAGATAGAAGAACATGATCCAACTGAACCACGAATGTAGCACGTCCCTCCAGAGAGAAGGAATTTGCCCTGTGTTTCTAACGCTATCGCGATACCTGGTATTCCCTACAAATTGATTTCTCGCGAACGAAGTGTTTGTCGATTGTCGCGAAACACTTTTACTTCCGCTATGGGCGGGGTTGACGGGTTGACAGTTATCATGGACAACAGCGCCGCACCGGTGGCGCGCAAGATGTGTCGTGGATGCCGCACCGAAAAAGACATCGGCCAGTTTCATGACCTTCGCGGTAATGGGAAGGTTGTTACACAGTGTTTAGAATGCCGGAACAAACGGAAGCTTCAAGTAAACCCTGTCCTGACTTCGTTTCTTTGCCTTACCTAGACCGTCGCAGCATACCATAGTTATCCCGAGCCAGCATTGCATCATTGCAGGTAATCGGCCGGGAAAGCTCTGCGCCTGCTCCAATGCCTGCACTACGACCTCTCGTGCCCGCACCTCGCCATAACCTCACGCACGGCGTCCTTGCTAGCATGTTTCCCAAAGGCGGCCGAGTTGCAACAGATACTCCAGATATGGCGACTGCTCGGGACCAACGTGCTGCGATCCAGCGTCGCCATCGCGCGGCAGCAAGACGAAGACCAAGCCCCGTTTCGGCGGGCCTTGGAAGAACTGCGAAAAGCTGATGTGTCAGTACCCTCCTGGGAGCTCCTCGCTTCGAGGTGTTCTGTCAAGCTCTCTCCCGAGGAGGTTGACAGCTTTGCTGATGCGCTTCGCATCTATCCCACCAAGACCCAGGTCGTCGAGTACAACCACCAACACATGCTTGGCCTGGACAGCCCCGCCATTCAGGTCGAGGCAAAGCACGAGGGTGTTGGTGCGGAGGAGGTTGAATCCTCAAATGCCGGCAACTTGGCCAAGCGCTTGCCCTTGTGTGTTGGTTGCAGGGTGATGCTAACGCGGAACTTGTGGGCGGACGTCGGGCTCGTCAACGGTGCGCAAGGCACAGTCTACGACATATCCTGGAAAGAAGGTGCTGACGTGCTGCGAGACCCGCCCGAGGTCATCATGGTGGCCTTCGACGACTACGACGGCCCCGCCTTCACGATGCCGAACGGGGAGCCGCTCCGCAGTGGAGAGAAGCTGGTTGTTCCCATCCTCCGAGTGCGGCAGGACTTCATGGTCGGCGCCAACTCATGTTCAAGAGAGCAGTTCCCGCTGTTGGTCAGCTATGCGATCACCGTCCACAAGTCACGGGGCATCACTATCGACGAGGTTGTCTGCGATATCTCTGCGCCGGAGTTCGCTTCTGGTCTCTCCTACGTGGCGGTTTCCCGGGTGAAGACACTGGGTGGGCTAATGTTTGAGAAGCCCTTCGACCGCAACAGGATCTATCGCGAGTCACCATCACGAGCTATGGGGTTGAAATTGTCCGATCACGCTATCAGGCAACTGCAGGCGTTAGATGCTGTGGCGGTGGGTTTATAAGTAGCGACGAGGAGAGTGTAGAGGCATGAGTACTTAGAATATAATAGAAATGATTGGTATAAGTGTGATGAGAAGGTCAAGTGGATGGAGTTGTTGGCCGACGGACAGATATTGGCGCTTCGTCTCTCCCGTATTCAACCCTAACCCGGATTGTCCTCCGGAGAGGGACAGGAAAATTGCCAGGAGCGGGAGAGAGGAAGGAAGCGCCCCGTAGCGTAGCGAAGGGCTGTGCGACTGACGAACGAAGCGACGCCAGCAATTTTATCCCAACAGTCCACCCCTCCTAATGCCGTCCAGATTCGCGACACTTGCATTTCTCCGCCCTCATTTTTTCATCAATGCCCCAAAACCCAGTGTGAAGAGAAGAGATAGCGCCAAAGGGGCCACCAACAAACGCCGTCGCCGCATGCCACCCGAGGACCGCAGCTATAATTCCACGATAACACGGTAAGGGAGACTGAAGATATTTCAATGGAAAGGAAAGCACGAAAGAAGCAACAAAACGCCTGAAACTACCATCATTCGATGGAGCTTGGAAAACTCTAACCGCCGACGGTAGTTTTCCCGTTGCGGGATCTGTCGCGCCTCGTCGCGATGGCTCGCAAAGAAAGGGCAAGGCCGCGCCCGGGACTGCGAAAAATGCTACACAGGGGGAGCCTGCCCCACCTACCGAAGGAGCTCAACCAATCACAACGAAGGACAGCGACGAAGAGATGGAAGATGACATTTACAATGGCCCCAACCCTCTACACGACGAATCAGACGAGGTACTTGCAGGGACAATAGTTCACTTGGCCAAGGAACCAAACGAGGCGGCCTCCCAAGTAGTGGCGGACGAGATCATGACACGGCTGCGGAGGCTGCGTAGACTGGAAAGCGGAAAGGCACCAGAGACGGGAAGCGTGGGAATCGACGTTACGAGGATTCAAGAAAGCATCGTGGACGCCGTGGTGGACGGTGTCGGACAAGGGACAGGGAGGGCCATGGATGAAGTGAGAAAACAGATGCAGGAGGTCCAGAAGGAGTTGCAAGAGGCCCGGAGGGAATTGCAAGACCAGAGAAAGAAGCAAGCTCCTGCACCAGCAACAACGGTAGCCCGGTCGTGGGCTGCAGTGGTGGCTGGGGAAGGGGAGCTCCCGAAGAAGATCATACCGGGCGGCTCAACAAGGAAATACTGGTGAGGGGATCTATAGAGCCGTCGCTGACCCGGAGGTCTCCACAAGAGATCGTCCAGGCGGTCAACGGGGCTTCCGAGAGGAAGGGAGCAGTGGCACCACGCAAGCTCCCTAGCGGGGGTGTTATCGTCACTTTTCAAGATGCTGAAACGAAAGAATGGCACGCGAAGAACGCAGGATGCATCGGAACGGCGTTTGGAGAGGTGGCGAAAGAGGCAAAGCGGACATTTGCGGTTTTGGTGAAAGGGATGTTGAAGAGAGACTTGAGGGACGTCACAGAAGCGGCATTCGGCAAGCAGCTGGGGCTGCAGTCGGTGGAATGAGTCAAGTTCCGAATTCCAACGGTCGAGGGAGTCACGAGAGCGACGGCACTGGTTACTATGACCAGTCAGGAAGAATCGAAGAGGGCCTGCGAGGAGGGAGTGGTTTGGCGGGCCCAGATGCTCAACTGCGAGTCGTACTGGTCTGCGCTGCAGGCTACCCAGTGCTATAGGTGCTGGAAATGGGGTCACACCCAACGGTTCTGCAAGAAGTCTGCGCTGTGCCCGCGCTGCGGCACAGCGGCCCATGGGGGAGGCGGGAGGGCGGGGGAAGCCCAATGCCCAACCCACGGCAACGAGATTCCATACTTTTGTCCGTGCTGCTCAGGGAAGCACCCGGCCTGGGTACGGTGTTGCCCGGAAGCAGTGAAGGCCCGGGGTGCGGCGGGGGAGGCATACCATTTCCGGCCTCGAACCTTTGAGCTTGCTTTGCAGCAACAAACACAACAGCAGCAAGAGAGACTACTACCGAGGATGCGGAGCGTCACATTCCGGGGTGCGTCCACCCTGGAGGAGGCCGACGATGGCTTCCAAGAAGCGGGAAAAAGGAAGAGACCACGGGGCCGACCCCCCGGCTTTCTCATAGCCCAGGAGGAGGCTGCAAGGAGTTCGAGGCAAGGAAAGCTGACCTTTGCGAGGAAGGTTGATACGGATCTGACCGGATACCGAGGAGACGGTGTTGGGGGCCTAGGAGTTACGACTCCAGAGGCCGCGGATACCTTGGAGGCGGACGGTCAGGATGTCGGAATGCAGGGAGCTGGGTAGGCTCCCTTCATCCGTAGCACGACGAATTCTGAAGAGACGGGCCAAGGTAACATCGGTACAGGTTTTTAGTCCGACTGGGAAACCAGGACGGTTTTCCTGTACAACTAGCTAGATAGTTGGACCGGCGAGCCCAAGGGCATAGCGGTGTAGGAATAATAATATAATTCCACGATCAGGGACGCGACCGAAGCAATACCACAGCAGCGAATACTCCGGCCGCACAAAACCGAGAAACCTCTGAATTATGTTTGGTCTTCGCCAGAGACTTCCGACTCTTCTAACCATGAGCTGCCTGAGTCCCCTGTGCCTCCCGAGTCTCCTGCATCTCCCGTGCCTCCCGAGTCTCCTGCGTCTCCTGTGCCTCCTGAGTCTCCTGCTTCTCCTGGGCCTTCTAGGTCTCCTGGGGACGTCCACGACAGCATCCCCGACGGCAAATCCATCGCCTCCAAATGGCATCTTCTACCCCGAGGAGTCCAGGGGCCCCAAGCCGACCTGGAACCCGCGCCACACTTGATCGAGAAGTGGTACAATAATCCCTTGGTGGTCGGTCCTCTCGTGGATTGGCACCGAGAGATCGTATCCCTTCGTCGGCCTGTGCACTTGGACACTCTCAAAACCTTCTGACCGAGGGTCTGTGCCTCCATCTCCGTCATCACATCCCGCAATTTTTACCCACATGAAAGCCTTGACTGGATGACCCTCGACGTTGAGACCCGGGACCATGATGGAGACCTGGACGCCGAAGGCCAAGGAATACATGAGAGTCAAACCATGGGGTCAGTCCATCGTTTCTTCTACTTCTGTAAACACAAAAGACCTGGCTGCTGACTTGCCGCATGGTTTTGGAGAATATTGGTCGAAGAGTTGTTCGAGGGTTCGGGAGAAAAAGAAGTCTGGAAGCCGTACGCCGAATTTCTTCGCATGATCGAACGTCAGTTCCCTTTCACATTTCTTTCACCAGCTCTGTCCTCCGTGCTGCCCCAACCCCATTGCCCCAAGCCGCCTGGACCCATTCTTCCCAAACCACTAACGTTTTCCAAGCCCTTCATCACCTTACACAAGACGACATCGATGAGCGTGTGGATGACACACTTGGTGAGCGGGTGATGGGCCGCCCTGGAGGTTGGCGGGGTCACGGCACGTCGGATAAAAGGCAGGGCTGTGCTTTGGCGCTCCCTGACCATGAATCTCATGGGCGTAGCCTTGCACACCGACGCACGCTACAGCGTCAAATACGTGACCGAGCGTATCACTCGGAAGCTGGGGCGCTGGATGAAATCCCAGAATCCGGAGGATCAAAAGATCCTCGATGAAGACCTCCGGATACTTGCCGAGTGGTCCATCAAGCTAGACTGGTACGCGAGCCATTCCCCCCAGTGCCACTACATCTTCGAAGCAGCCCTAACTAACCCTTTTAAAACAAACTAGGCACCTCCACTGCAACCATCAGATGTTCGACTTCCGATTTCGCGACCCGGCGACCAAGAAACCCTACGGATTTCCTTAAGGAATCGGAAAATGGTATGCTGCTACACACTGGGGCATTGGGTGACGGGCATAAGGAAGGACGCCCCGTAGACTTGGTCGTAGAGCCTTCACTCTATCTTTGGGGTGATCCTTCATGACCACTAGAGAGCTGGTCCTCGGCGACGTCTTGCAACCTCGGCAGAATGGTGGTGAGGGTCAACACGTCCTTTTAGGGTAGATGGATTACAATGGCGGCAAGCAAACCCTGGGGTGATGGGGGAAGGGATTCTTTGTTTTGGGTGCTGTTTTAAGGTTCGCCGGTAGTTTTAGGTTTGAAGCATTCAACTTGTGTAGTTGCAAAGCCATTCCCTAGCAAGCTGCTAAGGTGCACGAAGCCACTAGTTGTTGCTCCAGAATAGAGAGGGGAAGTCTCGACATATCCACCTTAAACCCGCGATGGTTCCCCAGACGGAGAAGGTGGTCAGCACAGTCACGTCAAGTTGTGGCACTTGCCTAGCAAGGCACTTCCCAAGGAGCTTGACGATGACGAACCAGCGGACCCCACGCTTCGCTGCAACAGTATCGGAAACCGGGTCCAGGAAAGGGAAGTGACAAGAAAGTCCTCTTGGCACCTTAATCCCGTTCCGTCTACGATCTGCCGCCATGGCCGTTCCCCACAGCCTAGACCGACTTACACCTCCTGAATTTGGAAGCCGTGAAGATAACAACCAACGTGGTCGCAATGCATGCGTGGCATGGCATGGCCACACGACTTGAGTTGCCTTGGGTCACCTTGTGTCTCGCGGACCACGATGTTGGCATAAATACCTCAACAACGTGTAACCAAACTCGTACGAGGGAATCGTCAGTGTAGCTTCAGTCTCTAAGCCGCCATTTCACCGCTTTATTCCAGCCATGAAGGCCAATACATTGTTAGCCGTCGCGGCCGCCCTAGGCCCCTTAGGGGTCGCCGCCGGCTCCCCTGTTACAGCCAGCAAGATGGAAGAGATGATGGACATCAAGACGAAGCAGTGGGACGCAGCCCGCGCCAGGGGCCTCTTTGGCGGCTCGACCCTCTACCGCAAGGTCACCGCCAAGCAGCGGTGCATCAACGGCGTGGCCGGGAAAGGCACCGCCGCGTACCGCTGCAACAACGTCGACTTGCACGGCTTCCTCAGCCACGAGGACCTGGCCTCCGCCACCAAGGCCGGCAACGATGTGTGGGGCTGGACGGCCCCCGGCGGCCGCGAGTTTGGCATCGTCGGGCAGACGGACGGTGTGGGCTTCGTCGAGATCACCCGCAACGGTAACCTCGAGTACCTCGGGCGCCTCGACACGCAGACGACGGCGACCAGCTGGCGCGACATCAAGGTGATCGGCCACCACGCCTACATCGGCGCCGAGTCGGACAACCACGGCCTGCAGGTGTTCGACCTGACCAAGCTGCTGGACATCAAGCCCTGGTGGAACCCCTTCTTCTGGCAGCCCCGCGTCTTCAGCAAGGAGCGCGACCTGACGGCGCTCTTCACGGGCTTCGGCGCCTCGCACAATATCGTCGCGCACGAGGAGGCCCACATGATCTACGCCGTGGGCGGGCGGTCGGGCGCCAACGCGCGCAACACCACCTGCGCGGGCGGCATGTTCATGGTGGACGTGTCGGACCCGGCCAACCCGGTGTCGCCGGGCTGCATCGCGCATGACGGCTACGTGCACGACGCGCAGTGCGTCGTGTACACGGGCCCCACGGAGAAATACCGCGGCCGCGAGATCTGCTTCAATTACAACGAGGACACGCTGACCATCATGGACGTGACGGACAAGAAGAACCCCGAGGTGGTCTCGCGCACGCCCTACGAGGGTGCCGCCTACACCCACCAGGGCTGGCTCGTCGACGAGACCATGACCTTCCTGCTGCTGGACGACGAGTTGGACGAGATGGACGGCACTGTCCCCGGCGAGAAGGATCACACCACCACCTACATCTTCAACGTCACCAACCTGGCCGAACCCATCAAGACGGGTTTCTACCAGAGCCCGGCCAAGTCTATTGATCACAACCAATACGTGAGATCTCCCCCAACCCCCCAACCCACTCCCTCTCTTTCTTCTTTATGTTCGTCGTCGTGGCTGACATTCGAGACAGGTCGTCAAGGGTCTGACCTACCAAGCCAACTACGGCTCGGGGCTGCGCGTGGTCGACGTTTCCGGTGTCGAGCGGGACCCGACGGGCGGCAACTTCGAGGAGGTCGGCTTTTTCGACTGCCATCCGGAGGACGACGACGTTAATGGCGTGGTCGAGTTCCTCGGGACCTGGTCGGTGTACCCGTACTTCAAGTCGGGGTACATTCTGCTCAACTCGATTGAGAGGGGTATTTTCTCGCTGAAGTACACGGGGCGGAAGGCTAAGTTCTAAATGCTCCAGAGCGACGGGTGGTGGCACTGGGTGTATTGGTTACTGCGTAAAAACTGAAAGGCTCGCGATGTCGAGCGTGAGGGATACGCTTGCTTCGAGCTTGCTCCGGATAGCGGCTCTGACCGCCTTTCAAATGATTCTGCTTGGCAGAAAGGGGGCTCGTCGTCACAAAAGGCGGTGGACGAGTTCGTTCGGGCCGTGTTCTGTACCAATACATGAACGAAGGGATGAGCAGGCCCAAGGCATGTTCTTGCAGCCTCACATCACACAATGAGTCAACCAGATGCAAACCAGGGGCCAAAGCACACCTGGCAAATACACACCAAAATCCATTTTGCTACTCTCACTGGACAAGGTGCTCCCCCGCCCCGCCCATATCCTAAAACAGCCCCAACAAGTCATCACTCCCCTTACTCTGCTCCGCCGCCTTGCCATTCCCATGTCCCAGCTGCTGTCCCGGCGGCGGCGGCGCACTGGTCCCACTTAAATCCATCCCCTCGAACCCGCTCATCAAATCGTTCAACCCACTTCCACCAGCAGGCGCGCCACCAAGCGCAACCCCCGCCGCCAAACCACCCCCGACCGCAGGTGCCGCCGGCGCGGGCGCGTCAAACAACCCCATGATATCCGCCATCCCGCCGCTGGGCGCCGCCGCTCCGCCAGGCGACACCGGGCTGGCCACCCTGTCGGGAGTCCCGGTGCCCGCGGGGTTCTGCTCGGCGCTAGCCGGCGCGGCGCCGTCGAAATCAATGTCCAGCAGGTTCTCGATGTTGCTCTGCTGGGCGCCGCCGCCAGCCGTGCCGTTGACGGATGCTGCAGCGGCCACCGACGCGGCGATGGGGTTTTCGGCGAGGTTCTGGCGCTGTTCCTGGATGGCGGCGCGCTGGATGGCCTCGGCGCCGAAACGGCCCTTGCCGACAAACGACTCGGGCGGCTTGTGGTAGACCGAAGCGAGGGTGGAGAGCTCGGCGAGGAGGTTCTCGAGAAGAATGGGCGGCAAGCTGTTGACGGTGGTGGTGATGGGGGGTTTTTGGGCGAGGATGATGCTCTGTGCAGGCTGTCAGTAACGGGGACGGGGATGACCATGGGAGGGAAAACGAACCTTTGCGACGTCGAGGTCGCCGGAAAGGAGACGCCAGTAAATATAGGCGCGATCGCGGATATCAGGGTTGTCGCTGTCTGCTGTTGCGAGCTGCAAAACCTTTTGTACAAGGCCTTGGTTGTTGCTGGGCTTCTTGAGGAACAACTTCACAACGGCTGTGAGGATTTGTAGTTGTGTCTGTTAAACATTAGCGCCCGCCAAAAAGGAGCGGTAGCTGCGAGACTAACCTGAGTAAACTCTTCGGCAAAGACGTCAACAAAGCCGGATAATATGTCGTCGGCGTTGTTGATCTTCTCGGCATACTCTCCCACAATCCAAATGAGAGACCCCCGTGCGTTTGGCTCGTCCAGCTCGTCGATATACTTGCAGAGCGTGGGGATGACGCCCTCGTATCCGGGGTACTTTCGGAGGATATCCTTGATGACAACGATAACCTCTTGGACAACGTAGTTGACCTTGGTGGCGATGAGGTCAAGGAGCGCGTTGACACACTTTTCGCTTGCCGGCTCAATCTTGATGGCCACCTGGCCAATGGCTTTAACGGCGCGCTTGACGAAGTCCATGTCGACCTCGAGCGCGTATTCCTTCAACTCGGAGAGCAGTTGATCAAAGTTCTTTTCGTTCGCTATCCTGACCATGATCTCGAGTTTCTGAAGCTTGACGTAGGGCGGGTCGTTGTATTTGCAAAAGAATACCCGAAGCTCCTTGCTGAGGATATCCGGCTTTGCTTGCAGAAGGAGGTCAATATTCCGGAGCGCAACGTATTGCACCTCGGGGGCAGAGGAGACGAGTGTGACTACAGACAAGATTAGCAAAGATCCGGGCAGTCCGAGTCCACAAGGGCTACGGTACCTAAAGGCGGCGCCATCTTCTTCAAGTATTGCCTGACGCCTTCGGGGTTCACCAACTTCATGTGGATGAAAACGACCTTGACGGCGGCCAGAACAACGCTGGGGTTGACATGTTGGAACTGTGGCGCAACTCTTTCGCAGATGTGCTCCGACTCCTTGACGTCTGTGGGCGGATAATCGGCCAGCGTGGTTAGAATCGTTACTCGGCCCCACTCAGTGCACTCATTCAATGCCATCAACAGTTTCTTGAGTGTGTTAGGCGTAATGAGCAAAGCTTTTGTCTCTGGCGCCGTCTCAGTGATTTCGGACAACGCCTGGACTGAGTTGGCCACGACCATGGGATTCGGGTCGCCGATCATCTCCTGCAATATCTCGAGAAAGCCGTTCTCAATGCACATTGTCGGGTTCAAGTCGAACAGCTTGGCCACGCAGATAGCAGCTGTCTTGCGCACATACGGCGACTCGTCCCGCAGCGTCTTCCGAAGTGGTTCCTCCATGTAATCCACCATCTTGTCGACCCGGACGCAACCCATCGTTCGGATCGCCAATGCTCGGATAAGCGGGTTCGGGTCTTCGGAGTCTTGCACAAAAGTGTTGACGGCCAGGATGCAGAGGTCTGGATGCGACTTGGCGTAGTTCCTGCACGCTGCCGGTTAGAAGGGCACCGGGGTGTGTGTCGGTGATATTGAACGGCCTACATGAGATAGAGATACACCAGCTTCTTTTGGTCCAAATCCGCCGTCGCAATGTTCTTGAGAACATCGGGGAACAGCGCCGACACGTCCTTGCCCAGCGTCATGGCCATGATGGTTTTCTGGATAGATTCCTTCCGCTCATGTGCGTATTGCGACACGAGACCTGCCCGCAGCTCGAATGTCTCGCCCTTGCGCGGGGGCGCAAAGGCCCCCCGGATGCGGTTCACAGCCTGCGCCATCTTTCGTGGGCCGGTTCAGCGAGAGGTGGTCGAGGGAAGCGGGGATGATTGTATGGTTCTGGGTCGAGGAGGGGCGGTGAAACTGGCCTGAAGCGCAGCCTGAGAGCTGGTACAAATCGAGGTCGTGCTTTCACCCGTAACAGATCGATCGCCGGCCGCCTGTTAATGGTGTCGCGGGGCCAGAACCAAGGCGGCGGTTTGTTGAAATGTTGTCGCAGCTGCTGTGGGTTCGGGCGCTGGCGCTTCTCTCGAGCCGCAGCGTCGCCAAATCGTCTGTCTGGCTTGGCCTGGCCGCCGTCAACCCCTGGAAAGCGCGGTGGCTTGGCGTTTGCAGCAGCAGCCCAAGCCACAAACCGAAACAGCGGGGTGGCTTCAGTGGGTTCATATCACCCTCAGAGCACCTTTTGTGCAGCACCTGGACACAATTTATCACTTTCACCTCCTCTAAAAGATCTGGATTTGGGTCACTGGAATCGTTGCTCCAAATCTAGACGGAATCATGGTTTGTGGAAAATTGCACGTTAAGTGAGCTGCGCTAACGGTCCCAGGCGAATTTTCCCAACCTGCGGCGGCTGTTTATCGAGGCCAGGACCGACAACGAAGAGAGGGATGTTTCCCGGAGAGCTGTAAGCCACAATTTGCTTCCTTAACGTCACCCACAAGGATATCGACCTAACTAACACTGACCAGTTCTACAACGCTGTTCTCTTCCTCGGGTCCGTTGCTGTTTTTAGTTTGATTGCCCAGAGAATGAACGCCCACTCGTGATGTGACCGCCGGACCATGGTTTGAGTGAAAAGTATCATTTCATCCGGCCTGTCCGGACCTCTCAGAACAAAATTCTGGCACCACGGATTGGGGCCAGGCAGAGGGATCGAAATGAATCTCACACCCCTCGTAAGGCCGCGGGCAAAAGGAGCAGAGCTACAGCGGTAGAACCACGACGAGTCGACTTCTTCAGTTGCCTGCTTAATATCGGACGATGCCGAAGCCGGACACTAGAGTTGGTAATTTGGGGTAAAACAAACAAAAAAAGAAAACACAGAACATTTGGGCCGATGTTGGATCGGGAAAAAACGTCACCTGTAGGATTCGAACCTACGCTCCCGAAGGAACTGCCTCGCAGCTAATTATTAGTTAGCAGGGCAGCGCGTTAACCACTCCGCCAAAGTGACTTATAAGACGCTACCGTTTGCCGCCGAATCAAGTGTAGCACACGGGGCCGGACCCCACCCAGACAGGAGTGACCTGGAGGAACTTGCCGGCTGCAGGTAGGCCCCATAGCGGAGTCAACGATGTAATTGTTAAAGGCGGAAGAAGAAGCCATCTTGACTGCAATGGAATTATAAACAGTATCAGGAGATGATTGTAGTTTAGGTCAGAAAATCGGGATGGAAAGAACGTATCGAGTTCCTTGGATTGGGAAAATGGAGCACCGCGGTGTAAAAAAGGTGGCCTCTAGCACCGGTTTGACCTCATCGCCGATGTATGACGCCGCATTCTTGAGTCTCCAGTAAGCTATATCGTCATCTAGGGGCTTCAGTAATCAGATCCCGTAAAGATTAACCTCTGTGGCGTAATCTCACAGAGCTGATAGGTTCCGTGTATTTTGTGCGTCAAAGAAGTAATTTGCTTCGCTACCCTTCGTCACGGAGACGACCATCGAGCCGTAGGCCTTGCTTGTATCCTTCCTGCTGAGCCAGGCAATCTTAGTAATGTTGACGTTGTTCTCCGTAGTCGTGGTTCCAGGAATGGGACGTCATGGCCGAATCAGCGCAGACTGAAGCTGCTGACGAAGAAGCGGGTGCGTCGCTCTAGTAGTAATAGTCAACCCATAATAGATGTTGACCCTGCAAACCTCATCTTTCGCCACTTTTTGACAGAAATCCGATTTTTTTGTTCGTGTTCGTGATTGTCAAGGAATGCGCGACGGAGGCATGCAAAAGCAGGAGCGAAGCAGCGGGTCACAGGGGCCCTGATGCCAAAGTGCGGGTAAGCGGCTTTTTCCTGGCGATTTGATTGGCCAGAACAACAACAGTCCGTGCACCTCCACCGCCAAGACCAACTGCGAGATGCCAATTCGAGAAAGCAAAATGCAGATGACGCCAGACTTCGAGATGCTATCGAGAGAAGTCGAAAAGGAGAAAAAAGCCAAAATTCTCCAGTGAGAAGTCGACAGTACAGGTTAGAAATGACACCGTTTTGTAGGGTTTATTTTTTGGGTTTTTTTTATGGAGAAAAAACTGGTACGTGCTTAGAGCAGGCCATGGCATTTTTGACCTAAGGAACCTGGAGTTCCTCCAGGCAAAAAACAACCTCCAGCCAAAAGAAGTTGGGGTTGAAAAGGAAAGTTTCATAATAACAACAATGAGCGTTAGAGTACATATTGAGGAAAGGGTATCTAACCTTCTCTTACAACCACCAATTAACCATACTTACTCGCCCAAAACATCACAAGAAGGACAGTACACGCCCCTCATCACTCACTCCGACTCGCTCTCATCCTCCAAGAACGCCAGATCGGCCCTGCGCTTCGCTAGACCCTTCCCACGAACTGCATGGTTTGCAACCTCATCCTCACTACCCTCCTCACTCTTCTCCGTCTCACTTTCCCCACCCCCTTCCCCGTCACTCCCCTCAGAACTCTCTTCACGCACAACCTTAGCCCTCTGTTTACCACCACCACCACCACCCGCCGCCGCGCGTCTCCGAGCCCCCCTGCCATCGCCCCCGACACCCCAACTCTTCTCTCCTTGCATGACATCCAGCAAGTCGGCCTGCAACTCCCGCATCTCCTTGATCTCGCGCGCCTTGACCTCCGAGAAGCGGCCCGGCATGCCGACGTCGGCCAGCATGCCCCGGAGGTGCTTGATCTTGGCCTTGGGGGCGTCGGCGCCGTGCTTTTTGAACTCGGCGCCCCAGACCTTGCGCACGCCGCATTTGGTGAGCTGCGACTGCAGGAGCTTGATCTGCGCCTCGTCAGGTGAGTCGGCGGCTGCCGCGCTGGCGGAGCCTTTGGCCGGGCGTTTTGCGGGGGCGGTGGTGGTGTCTTTGCCGCCGGCGGACTTGCGCTTGCGTTTTGACGGAGCGGGGTCGTCGATTAAGGAGGAGAGGTCGCTTGAGGAGTCTTCGTCGGCGGCGGCGGTGGGTTCGGGTTTGGGAGAGGGCTTGGGCTTGGCTTTGGGTTTTGCTTTCCGCTTGGGGTGATCGTCGATGACATCTGAGAGCTCGCTCTCGTCTTCTGCTAATTCGGACGTGTTTTCCTTTTCCAATACGGGTTCGCCTGTAGCGGATTCGTTGGCGGCGTCTGACAACTCGCTCTCGCTGTCGCTCTCTGTCCGCTGCTTCGACTTGCGCTTCCGTGCAGGTTTCGGGGATTCTTCGTCGATTCGGGCGTCACTGGCGTCCGAGCTATTCTCCTCGTCCTCGTCGTCGGACACCACCTTGGTCATTTTTTGTGTTCCTTCGGTCAGCTTGCGCTTCTTCGCTGATGGTACCGGCGCGTCCCTCGCATCACTTCCATCACCAACTTCGGGCTCGGCATCGGATGAGGGTCCCGTCTTTTTACCCTGTTTTTGGTTTCCCTTGTTGCTCTTCGCGAGCGCTGCCTTCACTGGTTTCTTAGGGCTCGGTGATGCTTGCGAAGGTTCGTTATCGGCGTCCTCAAGGTCCTTCTAACAAGGTTTCGGTAAGCAATGGTGCGTAATTTGGTTGCGGTGGGGTTGCGACTTACCAATGTGTTGACAATGATCTCTTTGCTCTTCGCTTTCCAGTCGCCTTCCTTCAAGTACCCAACCTCCAGTCCAAGGCTATCTTCCACTTCTTGGCGCGCATAGTTGACGGTCAATTTGTCTCTGTCTGGGCAGTTGTAAATCTGTTGCACCATGCTAACAAGCGCCGACGCGATGGCCGTGTCGGTTATTTCGGTGCGCGCCATCGTGGCCGAGAGTGGAAGCGCTGTCGGAAATGTTGCTTTACAAATGATACCGCACCAAAATGGGAATAGTTCAAGACACGATATGAAGGCCGAATCCCGCAATTGTAAGATACAAACGCGCTTGCTGTGGCTTTGAGCCCTGGTTTTCGTTCGTCGCGGGCCTCGTCCAAGCGCGTGGTGGGGGGGCAACTTAGCAGGGATCAGGCAATTGCGAAATTGCGGCAAGGGTGGTTGAGAGGCGCACGAGCCATATCAACAAGAACCGGCAGCCCACGAACACCAGCCTGGAACATCCAGTACGTGGAATCCAAACCCAATGGGGATAATAGTTGGCGGTACGCTGCAAGTATATGTTACAACGAACAAGACAGCTTGCAACGACACCCGCATTCGAGAATCCGGGAGGTGAGCAAGGGTCGCGTCTGTCGGCCTTGATGTCAAGTTTCGGGTTAGGGTTCAGTTCTGCAATCAACCAGCATGCACATCAAACCTCTGTTCCAACCACGTTCCTCACCCGCCTCACCTAAGGTGGTCTTGTGTATTCCGTTCCTGGATGCCAGCCTTGGCAAGCCTATGTGTTCCAGACGAGCATCACCCGTCGCGATTTTGTCCAAAATCGACTTCTCACTTAATACACTCCCAATTCCCCAACAACTCACCCCCTCGTCATGACGCCTCACCGCCCCCGTCTTGCCCGCGCCCTCGCCCTCTCCCACCTAACCCACCACTTCCTCCTCCTCACCACCCCCACAACCGCCCTCGCCAACCCCTCCCCAAACCCCCACCTCCCCTTCGTCATCAACACCTGGGCCGGCCCTTTCACCGTAGCCACGGACGCCGCCTACCACTCCCTCACCGACCCCACCTCCGCCCACTCCCGCACCCCCGCCCTCGACGCCGTACAAGCGGGATGCGCGGCCTGCGAGCAGCGCCAATGCGACGGCACGGTGGGGTTCGGCGGGTCGCCGGACGAGGCGTGCGAGACGACGCTAGACGCGCTGCTCATGGACGGCGCGAGCATGAAATCCGGCGCTGTGGCCGGCCTGCGGCGCATCCGGGACGCTGTTGCCGTCGCGCGCGCCGTGCTCGACCACACGCGCCACTCGCTGCTGGTTGGGGACCTGGCGACGCGGTTTGCTGTTGAGATGGGGCTAGGGCCCGGAGGGGGATTTGGGGACGCCGGAGAAGCAGGAAGGAGGTGCCGAGGAGTGGAGGGCTGGGGGGTGCAAGGGGAATTAGAATCCGGCTGCGGTGCAGCCGGATCCGGAGACGTCGTGTGGGGCCGTATCGGCCCGTTGTCCGTTGCGGGGGGTGGGGTGTTGGGGTCGGTTGGGGGAGATGAGGGGCAGGCTTCGCATGATACCATTTCTATGGTAGTGATTGATAGGGAGGGGGGTATGGCGGCGGGGACGTCGACAAACGGGGCGGCATTCAAGATACCCGGCCGTGTTGGAGATGGGCCGATCGTAGGGAGTGGGTCGTATGTGGATAGGGACGTAGGCGGATGCGGTGCGACGGGAGACGGGGACATCATGATGCGATTCTTACCGTGTTACCAGGCGGTTGAGAACTTGAGGCTGGGCATGACGCCGACAGAAGCGGCTGAGGATGCGGTCAGGCGCATGCTGCGGAAATATCCTAACATATCGAGCGGGCTTGTCGTGGTGAACAACAAGGCCGAACACGGTGCGGCAGGGTCTGGGTGGACCTTTACCTACGCCTTCCGAGGAGGAGCAATGAATGCTACCGAGGTGGTCACCGTCCCGCCGTTGGAGGCTGGTTCGGTGAGTGGCACCCAAGTAGATGATAGCCCAAGCGAGATCTAAGTCGGGCAAGGTTAAGCCACCGACCGTTCGGTACTTGTGATTATCCAATCCCGTCCAAGCACCGGATAAGTCGTCTCGCATTTTGTCCAAAACAGAAACAGGTCATCTATCGTTGCAAATAGTCAACTACTTAATTTTCTCTTCATCCAGGCTCTCCAGTTTGGGAAGTGAGATCGAGTTGTTCTAACAAACCCCAGCAAACTCGAGGATCCATTTGTTTTTCGACGGACCAGCATCAACCCCACTTCTCCAGGCACACAGATCACTGAACCCCGGAAGCCACCCGAACTTGGCATGCAGGAACCAATTAGCTCGCCCCACCTTTATCGCGCTAATGCTGTTTTGGCGAACCTAATCTCACCAGCGTGGATATTCTCTGCCATGCCCGCCCAAACCCTCAATTTTTCCCTCACCAACCCACCGACCCTTGGCCGACCGCGTTTCGTCTCAATCGCTCTCTTTGGCGACCGCGGCATTGTTTTCTCTGGCCATGGTGCCATGTCATTCATTTTAGCTCTGCCTATGATACAGCTAGTCCTTCTTTAACCCGATATTCATTCACTCCACATTTATTCGACGATCTCTGGGCTGAGACCCGCGACGACCCACTCGATTCGCTGGTTAGCCGCAGCCATGCGCTGCGCAATTCACTTCTTCTCTGGCTTGCTCGCCGCCGCCACAGCCCACGCGGCTGGACGAACCGTATGGGCAACGCCTCACGAGAGTTATTCGTCTTCTGTTGGCGTGTTGGGTTGTAAGGTCGACACCAATCGCATCGCATACTGGCCGGCTTCTGTGGACTGCAACAACATTTGCGTGTCGCTTAGCTACGAGGGGAGGACAGTCCATCTTTTGCGCATCGACCAATCTGAGGGTGCCTATGACGTGAGCTACGATGCTTGGAATTACCTTGTCACGGGCTTCTCGGCGACTGAGAAACCGACAACCGGCGGCGCCATCGCCATGCATTACGAGGACGCTGATCCGTCAGCGTGCGCCGACCTGATTCATACCGACGGCAACAAACTGCCCCTCAGCGCCCCCAACAGCATGAATTATCTCGCCAGCTGTCTGTCCCAAAGACACTTGGGTTGGCAAGAACCACATTCTCTACAACATCCTCGATCCCATCTGCTCGTGGGGCAACGACGAGGTTTGCGAGTTGGACTGGCCAACAGCCAACCAAGCCGCATGCCCGACTCAGTTAGGCACGCCATCTGTTCTAAGCAATGCACCCGTCTACAACATCCAGTACATGACCGGCAACAAGGTTCTAGCATCCAACGGACAGGTTGTCGCCAGCGGCGGCGTAAGTATCAGCCCGCCCTCGGACCTGAGCCAAAAGTCAGCTGGGTGGATTGCGAGAGGCAACATGGTGCCGGTAATGGCTATGAGTATGTTGGCCTATTGGATTCTTGGCGGGATGTGAGGCGGCACATGTGGTGGTCGGGCTTTATTTTGGGATGGTGCTGTTGATTTTGGATACCCCTTTACGCACGAATATACCCTTATGATGATAGACCTGATGTTCCCTCGCAATCCGTTCCCTTAAATCGCTATTCTCGCAAAAGTGAAAGGAGGTAGCCGCGGCTTCCGGCTTACAACGGATCCAGTACATTGCCTAGTTACCGTACGACAGGCGACAAGTGCACGTTCAGCTTCCCCCTTTTCCCACAAGTTGTAGATCCGCTGCTTGCTCATCCAGTCCAAACTGTCCTCAGCGATACGGAGATCAAAGTTCCACAATATCCGGACTAGAATAAGGCGCATTTCGATGTAAGCCAGGTTTTTCCCGAGGCAGTTACGCGGGCCCAGATGAAACGGCTGGAACGCTTCCTTGTGGTCCCCAGCAAACGCCGGGTCGTCGAGCCATCGCTCAGGGTGGTAAGCAAAGGGATCCTTAAAGTGCTCGTCGTTGTGGTACATAGCCCAGTGATGAACCGCCACCACTGTCTGCCGCAACCAGTTAGTCAAAATTCCCTTTCCTCGCGGCTCGTGCTTTTGTGTGCTCACCTTCTCAGGCACGTAATTGCCCGCAATATTGGCCCCTCCCTTCGGCACCACGCGCGGTAGCCCAGTCGGGACTGGGGGATACATGCGGAGCGCCTCGTCAAGGCACGCCAGCAGATACGGAAGTGTGCTGACACTGGCGAAGTCGATCTCATCTTCAGACTTGAAAGTTTCACGAATCTCAGCCGTGAGCGTCTCCATCGCGTGATGGTTTGTCAACAGGAAGTATGTCACCCCTGAAAGCAACGTTGCCGTCGTTTCTGAGCCCCCGATAATGAGAATTGCGCTGTTGGCCTGGAGCTTTTCCAACGTGAGCCCCTATAACAAAGTCAGCGTCGACTGTGCCGAACAGGAATACATGCTGAGTCAGAATACTCATTCATCAGCCTTTTTGAGCAATCCCTCCACAGGTCCGCCCTGTCCTTCCCGCTTCATCCGCCTCTCACTTGGCCAAAGTCATCTGCATGTGCTCTCGCGGCTCCTCCACGACTTCGTCGGGATGAGAGCGAGCAGCAACT